GATGCTGACTTAAAGCCAACAAAAGAGGGGAAACGTTCTGCTTCTCTGGCTTTGAACTGATTCCCAGATAAATGCAGTGACGGAGTGGGCAATCTGCCCTCTGGACCTCCTGAGTCCGGTAAAGGCATGCAGAGCTCTCTCTCAGGGTTGGAGGTTGGACTTGGGAATTGAGCTTCAGTGGAAGCTGGGTCCCAAAGCTCTGGTTCTGTGTCTGACCCGCCTCTACCGCCGAGAAACGGCGGTAGAGGCGAGTCTGGAGACAGAGCTCGAAACTCGTCAATGGCTGTCATTGAGTCAGGAGAGGATCTTCTAATATCTGATGTTGATACTGGAGACTGTGGAGACAAAGCCCGTCCCTCAGCTTCAGATGACACTGAATGTAGGGAAAGGGTTCTCTCTGGCATCCAGAACTCTGCTGTAGTGAATCCAGATAGATCTAAAGGAGCTAATTCAGGTTCTTGTTCGCCCATTATCTCAGCAGGTTTATGAAACCAGGACAGGCTGGATGGCTCTGGTTTTAAATGAGATGCTTCCCGATGAGATGGAAATATGGGACAGAAAAACTGAGGAATCAGTGAATCTGCGGACAAACGATTCTCTTCTTCTGTGTCCTGGGAATCATACTGGTATTCACTGGTTAACCGGGGGGTCTCTGGTGAGAGGACTCGGTACTCGAGGTCAGAGTCTGGGGATAGTTTCCTGCTCATGTTTTCTAGACCTAAATCCAGTGAAATGGCCTCCAGACTAGTCTCTGCATCAGCCCTGCTTCCAGGGACGTTTCCAGTGTACTGTGGGTCACAAAGCTGGCCTATCAGCTGCTGTCCCCTCGGCACGGACACGTCTACAGACCGGTTCTGTTCAGAACCGACCAGGAGGGTTTGGTATGAGGCTTGCTGCTGCTCTAGTGGTTTTAAAGCAAGGCCTTCAGGATCAGAACACTCTGAGTGGAAGGAGGTTCTGCTCCCTGAGCTGCCTTCAGGGATGGGTTCTGGATCAGACCTGCTGTCGTCTGTGGATATCTCTGATTCAGCTGATGGAGTTCTGCTCCCACTGAATATCTGAAGCCTCTGATGATCTGGGTTTCCATCTGACAGCGGGTCGCAGGACAACAAGTCTTGGGAATTGGTACTCAGGTGCAGTGGAAACAGAGAGCTGGAACATTTTCCTGGATGGTCTGACCTCCTGCTGTCCTCCTCCGTTTCAGGGTTCTGATGGACAAACTGCATTCTGGTTCCAATATACTCAAAAAGTCCAGTTTTACTGGAAAATGTTTCTCCAACATACTGAGGATCCCGGATCTGAGAAATGAGCTTCCACAGCTCTGCTTTATAAACTAGCCTGTAGGCCTGGCTTTGAGGGCTCTCTTTGGGCCTAGATGATCCGGGTTCAGGTGAGTCTGCTCTTTGCTCCCACACATGAGCGTCTGAATCTGACTGAGCATGCTTCACATCTGATATGTCTGATCCAGGAGATGACAACCGACAACTGATGAAGGAAATGGATCCAGACTTAAAGTCAGGAACTGGTGAATCTCCTCTGTAAAAGTCCCCACAGAGATCCACATCAGGGGAGGACGGTCTAGTTTCCAAGCCCGGAGACGGAGACAGGTCATCGGAGTCACGCTCTGACAGAAAGGAATCAGGGGACAAGGACCTCTGCAGGGTGTTCAAAGGTAGTTCTGTTAAAGCCAATCCAGACTCTGCAATGGGGGACTCAGCGGGCAGAGGCCTGGTTTCATCCACTGAGCCGATAGACGGAGGTCGACTCTCACCAAACAGCGACTCCATGGAGACAGAACTGCACTGCATGTCTGAGGCCGCTGAGAAAGGAGACGTGGATCCGTCCAGCGTAGTGGAGGCATGGCTGTCCGGTAGAACTGGGCCAAACTGGGGAATGGGGGATTCTGCAAGAACAGCACATTTCCCATCAACAGAACCAACTGAGGAAGGTCTGCTGCTGTACAGCAACAACCCCGGAGAGACAAACCCAAAGTCATCCTCTGAGGAAAAGGACACAGGAGAGGAAGACCTTGGTGGTGGAGCCTGATGGCCGTCTTCACTCTGTCCAAAGTGTGGGACGGGGGAGTCGGATGAAGGTGGCGCGTCTTCTTCAAAGGAACCGATGGAGGGAGGACATATCTCACCGAACAATGACTCCAATGAAGCAGACCTACACCGCTGGTCTGAGGAACCAGAGGCAGGAGACACAGACCCGTACACAGGGGGAGGGGCACGGCATTCATGGAGAGCCAACCTGAAATCTGGAAGCGGGGATTCTGGTGGGACCGGTCCGTTTTCATCCACAGAGTCCACAGACGGAGGCCGGCTCTCCCCGAACAACGACTTCATGGAGACGGAGACGGACTGGGAGCTCAGGGAGACGGTGGAGGAGAACCTCTCCCACATGGTTGGATACGTGTTTGAAAGGTGGGGTTCTAACTTCGGAACAGGAGACTCGTGTGGAAGGGGTCTGCCTTCATCTACAGAACCTACAGAGGGAGGTCTGCTGTTTCCAGATGAGGAAACAAACCCAAACTCCCCGTCTGAGAAGGTAGAGTGGGTGGGAGGGGACTGGACCGACCCGGCTGCTGGATGGGTGTCCCCTGGTGCGGCTTCAAGAGACGATGGTCTGTCCTCCAATAGAAACAACTTTAAATCCAATTGGTCCTCCAGAACCGACCCAACCCAAAGTGGTAAAAGATCAGTGGAGGAGGTTCTGAGCCGAGCTGTGGGGGGTTCAGCTGGTTCTGCTCTGTGGTTCCCTGCAGGTCTGCCTGACTGAGAGGAATCTGGTCCTACAGCTTCTAGCAGCATCGGTGTGGTTCTGGGTTCTGCTTCAGAATTGGGAGACCAGGAGCTCCTGGAGGGTTCTGTAGCAGCAGCAGGTTCTGGTTCCTCGATGGAGTCTGAGGTCGCCACCTGCTGTACAGGCCTTCCTGCTGCTCCTCTAAACGTGTCTCTTGAATATTGTGGATCGTGGATCTGAGAAATGAGCCTAGGTTCTGTTCTGCCTGAAGGTCCGGAAGCAGAGCGCATCTCAGCTCCATCTGGAGATGTTGGTACCAACAACTTTGCAGATGGTGAGGAGGATGTTTCTGTTCTACCACGCTCCAGATTTTTTCCTTCTTCTTGTTCCGGATCATCGGTTCGACCCGGTTCTGCTTTACTGCCATCAGTTGATAGAAGTTCTGGTGTTTTGGCGTTTGGATCAGCATGTTCTGACCCCGAGCTGTTTGAAGCTCCTTCTGTCTTAACCTTCGGACTGGATGGGTTCTGATAGAGTGCAGCTTGGGTCGGTCCCAGTTGGCCCGTTTCTGGACCTTTGATAGGAGAGCAGCAGGACTCAGGAGACGACAGCCTGGGATCCAGACTTGGCAGCAGAGGCATGGCTTCATACTCGGCATCAGACAGAGCAGATTCTGGTGAGGAGGAGCCAACCGGTCCAAAAGAACGGCGGCGGATCCTGGATGTGAACTGATGGATGGGAGAATCTGGACTCTCAGGACTCGGATCTGACGCAGGAGAATCGGTTCTGTATGGGGATGACTGCGGTGACCTGGGTTGATGTTCAGGCACCGAGTTTGCAGGTCTGTCCTCAGGGTGAGGAAGGAAGATCCAGTGGTCTCCATGGTCCCAGTGGGACTCAGCAGGTTCTGGATTAGTCTGTTGTTCTGGTGGTTGGTCACCAGTTGCTTTAATGGAGGAAGGTGGAACCAGTGGAGACTGATGTCCAGAGGTAGCAGAGGAAGGAGACGGAGCTCTGAATGGTTCTGGAGACGGCGGGCCTGGTTCTACAGCAAGCCAATCGGACCCGGACCGCAACAACCCAGGAGACGAGGAGTCGCCACAACAATCGGGTCCAAAGAACCAGGAGACGGTCTCAGCCATTACAGAACCAGGAGACGGAGCTCTGTCCTCCATGTCAAAGGGAGAGCAGGACGCCACTCCACTGGCTGGGGACACTGGTCTACCAAAGGGTCTCTGGTTTGGAACCATAGGGGTCAGGGGTCGTTCCCCCGCTGTCAGCAGCAGCAGAGGGCCCCCCTTTGGCCCCCCAGCTACTCCAAGCTCCCACGGTAGGAAGGGAGGAGTGAGAGGAGATAAGGGCCTGAACTGAGGTACCGGGGAGTCTGGGGCCAGGAGACCCAGCTCACTGACAGAGGAGGCGGAGCCTGGTGAGGAGGCCCTGGACTGGGTCAGAACCAGCAGCGCCTCTATGGCGCTATCAGGAGAGGACGCCCTGTCCTCAGTAGGAGACCAGCTTCCACAGAAGGTTCCAGGAGCCGTTTCTAGTTCAGATGGAGACGCTTCCACTGGGAGGGAGATGGTTTCCTCAGAGACACCAGATGGACCAGAACCTGGGCTAGCTGGAGCTCCGGGCTCTGGACCTGAGGCCTTCACATGGCTGACCAGAGGATCAGAGACCTCCTGATCCAAAGTCTGCTGAACACCTGCCCCCCCCATTGACTCCATGAATTCATCATCTGCAGCAGTCCTCTGACCTTCTGGACCCAGGCGGTCAACATCCGGTCCATACAGGATGTCATAGAGCCGCAGTGACGCCTGGTCCACTCCTCTCCTGGAAGCAGTGACCTCCAGCGGTCCACCTGGACTCGCCCCTGCAGTTGAAACCTCCTCTGGTTCTGTTAGCTCCATAGAGAGTTCTCTGAAGTCCTGCTCCGCTCGCTCACACTCAAACAAGCTGTCACCAAAATCTGTCATGGACAGCGGTCGATCTTCACAGACACCAGACCTAGAGCTGCTAGAAGCTTCTCTCCGAGCCACCGGCGGTTGGTCTGAGGTGTCTGCAGGAAGGGGAGTCCGCAGACACTCCAAGGTCCACGGCTCTCCTTCCTCAGCCCCCTCTTCATGGGGGTCCAGAGGAGGTTCAGCTGGGCCAACCCCGGCACTCAGCTCGGGCCCCCCAATGTCCATGGTGTCTATGAGCTGGGGGCGGAGCTGGTAGGGAGAGGCGCGGTACAGAGAGAAGAAAGGACTCACTTGCTTGTAGCTGCCCATGGTTAGCGGCTCAGGGACCTCCTGGTAGGATCTCTCCGACGAGCTGCAAGAAAACAAAAACCTTCAGATTCTTTTATCGCAGAAAAAAGAAAAAGCCAAACGGCTCCTGAGGCTTCAGCTCTGCTGCAGGTAGAGAAGACATTTACTGGAAGGAAACCCAGAAATGACTAAAAAACTGTTTGCTCACATCTTATTTCTTCAAATCATATTTATTTTTCATTTTCTTTATATTTTGTATAGAAAAAAAATTTTTATTTAAGTTTTATTTTTCTGTTTTTCAGACTGAGTTTCATAAATTTGATGCTTTTTAATCTGTGTTTCTCTTCCCTTCTAGGGGGGTGGGCTCTGAGCTGGGGGGTGGGGGGGGGGGGTGGCGGGGTGGCGGGGGGCGGGGCAAAGACGCATTTCTATTGGTCGCCTGGGCGTTGGCGCTATTACTGTTCAAGAAGTGAAGGAGATGAAAGAGATCATATCTCTCCTATCCTGGCTTCTCTTCATTGGCTTCCTGTTAAATCCAGAATAGAATTTAAAATCCTCCTTCTCACATATAAAGCCTTAAATGGCCAAGCTCCATCTGATATCAGAGATCTGATTGTTCCTTATGTTCCTAACAGAGCACTTCGCTCTCAATCTGCAGGTTTACTAGTGGTTCCTAGAATTTCTAAAAGTAGAATGGGAGGCAGATCTTTTAGTTATCAGGCTCCTCTCCTGTGGAACCAACTACCAGTTTTAGTCCGTGAGGCAGACACCCTGTCTACTTTTAAGGCTAGGCTTAAAACTTTCCTTTTTGATAAAGCTTCTAGTTAGAGTGGCTCAGGTTATCCTGATCTATCTCTATAGTTCTGCTGCTATAGGCTTAGACTGCTGGAGGACATAGGGACCCCTTTTTCATCATTCTGCTTCATTCTATCTCTATTCTCCCACTCTGCAGAATCTGTTAGTTCAATCTCTAACGTTCTGCTCTCTCTGCTTTTTCTCATAGTAGCTTCATCTGGTCTGTTCCTGTTTGGCTGTGACTCCATCCTGGAAAGAAATATCAGCTGTGCTGCTGCCATCAACACCTTTGTTTCTAGATGTTGGAGCTTGGCCTGTTTTCCAGTGTAGTCCTGTTTCTCTGACTGTGACTAACTGGATGTGCTCTCTTCATCCTCTGACATGGGAGCTGGCTCGGAGCTCGTCTGCCTGGCTGTGTGTTTCCTAGACGGTTCCTCCAAACTATCAACTCAGTTTGAAAAGATGCAATTCATAAAACTGAATCAACAAAAAAAAAAAATGAATTTGAAAATAAAATCCATAAAAAAATGGTTATAACGTAATGATTAAAATAAATAAAATCTGAGAAAACATAAAGGTGATGCTGAAGAAGTTTCATTTCTGGATTGGATTAGTCACATGATTATAATTATAATCCAGCTATAATCTCCTGTTCTGTTAGAAGGCCAGAAGCGTCACCGTCTTCTAAGGCGACTCACTTTGTTGATTCCAGCTCCTCTGTTTGCCGTTTGGAGGCTTTCTGTAGGAGTTCTGTAGCTGTGGGAGCCGCCTCAGGCCGCCCTGATGTGTCGAGAAGCGATGACAGACTGGTGGACAGCTCCTCTGCTGACACCATGGGCACTTCCTGTCCTAAAAGCAGGCTTCTTCCAGTGGCTTCCCTGCGTCTGCCTGGCCTTGGACTGTCGATGTCTTCATGAAGGGCAGAGAAACCTGCGGGAGCAAAGGGAGTCAGGACAAACGGGATGTTTCCACACAGGCTGGATGAAGGTCAGCCGGCCACCAGGGGGCGTACCTTCACTGTGGTCCAGAGCGATGGTCTCTTCGATCTCTGCGTACGTGTGTGAAGACGTCTCCTCTTCCTCTGAACGGTTCATCTTGGGCTCCATCAGATGAACAATGTCCATCCGGTTGATTTTGGTCAGCTTCTTTAGAAGTGCTGCTTCTGCTGAAACAGGATAAACAAACACGGTAACTATGGAAACAAGGAGGCAGAGTCCTCCATATCCAGGTAAAACCAGATGAATGGAAACCAAATCAACATCCTCACTGCCTGACTCTCAGTTAGAAGAGGAGCAGAAGAGCCGTCCAAGGGGAAGAAGGTGCCTGCTGAGGCAGACAGACTCGGGGTGGCTGACGAGTCAGAAAAACAGGCGTTCATGATGACCAACAAATGGAGACTCACAACGTCAGATAGGAAGTTGGGGTCTAACCATGCAGCCTGTCCAGTTCTCTGTCAGGTCTGATGGTTGAATTACTCCTTGCAGGACCAAACCCAACAAGTGTCGTTAGACTATGTTACCACCTGCAGGGGGAGCCATGAGGGGCAGCCTTTGGTCAGGGAACTATTCCAGGACATTCCTCAGACTCCAGAGGAAGGTTAGACCATAGAGTCTGAGTGGACCTTGTTGTCTGCCTCTATTGTAGCTGTAGTATTAAGATCTAGTTCAGAACCTGTTTTAGGAGGCCATCAAGCTAAGGCAGATCTATAGAGCCTGGGTGTCTTGAGGGGCTCCTGAGAGAGCTGGAGCCTGGAGAAAGACTCAGAGTGATTCTGGCAAACCTCTCAGCTGCCATCTCTACAGCAGGAGTCTGTGGTCATTTAGAACCAGGAGCACCTCCTCCCCCACAGCAGCTGTCTAAAGCCTGATTAATGCCTGACATGTCGACAGCATCCAAAGCATGTAATCCTAGCACCCATTGAGTACACATGTTCAGATTTCTGGCATGGCCCTCCTTGGAAACATGAATTACTGAGGGATCCTGGGCGAGAGGTAGGAGGTGAGGTAGGAGCAAAAGCTCCTTCTGGCAAGGGTTTGCAAAGGTAAAAACCCATAAATATCTGATGGTTTGGTCCACAAATGTCACTAAAATCAGGAGATTGTTTCTTGCACAGAAATGAATGAAGCTGTGTTTACTGTGGTGTTGGGAGCTAGCGGTCTGTGCCCTACACGGCCCCTTAGAGTCTGCCAGAATATTAGGTACAGGGGAAAAGCCGCACAGAGAGTAAAAGCTGCCAAACCTGTGTTCCATGTGGACTGTAGCCCAACCGTAAGGAGAGGGAAGTCTCTGCTGAGACTGCTGACCCCTATCCGGACCCGTTCAAAGAACAAGGATTTAAAATGATTTCAATAACTAACATCCCAGTGAGGGAGATCTGCCAAGAACTGAAGAACTTTTCTACAAATGTAGTGTTTTGTAGTCCATGGCTGCACGGTGGTGCAGTGGGTAGCGCTGTTTCCTTGCAGCAAGGATACAGCAAGGTTCTGGGTTCGATTCCCGGCCCAGGGTCTTTCTGCATGTAGTTAGCATGTTCTCCCTGAGCATGCCTGGGTTCTCTCTGGGTGCTGCAGCTTCCTGTTCCTGACTGTTGGCTTCTCTAAATTGTCCTTAGGTGTGAGTGTGTCCTGTTTGTCTCTGTGTTGCCCTGCGATTGGACTGGACACCTGTCCAGGGTGGCCCCTGCCTCTCTCGCTCATAGACTGACTGAGGTAGGCACCGGCCCCACCTTGACCCTCGAAACCTCTTAAGGACTACCGACCTGTGGCACTCTGTCCGTCTCTCTCAGTCCAAAGGTTCAAGAGGGCGCGGCTTTGGTCTTGCAGAGAGTTGGGGTTTTCAGTCCGTATCATGTGGATCTTCTCCTCGCTAAAGTTCAGTTCTCGTGCTAACTCTGTATGCAGGAACGACAATACAGGGCATTAAGGTAGTCTGTGGTCACAGGGAGAAAATAGTCTTTGAAATCTGGAAGTTTCAGCTTGAACTCTGACTCACCTGTCCAACTGAAGCCCAGGTGGTCGGCTATGACGGCCAACCAATGCTCACGTCTTTCTGCTTCATCCTGTGGATCTACTGCGAATGAGTCGTCAAAGCCAGAAGGTAAGTCACATTCATAAACACCATATAAAAGGAATTCACCCACTTTTTTCCTCTTATTCCCACTACTTTTCTAAGAACTTTAAAAGCCATAGATAAGAAACTTTTTTCTGTTCAGTTGAGTAAACTTGAAGAGGTTTAAGGCCTGATCTGACCGATAAACAATCAGTTGACACTTTTACTGTTTTTTTTAAAGCCTTTCAGACAATCAGCAGGTTTTTTTGAGGTCAATCTTGAGATTTTCAAAAACACAAAGAAGGAAAGAGAGATGTCAATACAAAGACAACAGAGATCCAGGTACACAGCAACAAGGTATCTTCTACTACAACGGGACATAGCTACAAGAGACAGAGGCAGCACCTGAACAACTAGAGCACTAATGAGGTTACAGAGATAGAGAATAACCCCTTCAACTGGGGGGTACCTTGACTTTGGACTCTATCATCTGGAATTCGCTGCATCTGTGTCTCAACTGGGTCGTCCCACAGTGGTCTAATGGGAAAGACGTCTCCTGAAGGTGGGAACTGCAGGTCTGGAAATGGCTCTTTTTCAATTATCGACGGATCAATAAGACCGCTGTCATCGTCTGAGAGAGCCATCGCAGTCTCTTCCTCTGCCAGTCTTGCCACTACTTTTGCTGCTTCCTCACTGATTTCTTCAAAGAACTCTGCAGACTGTTTCTGAGATCTGCTTTTGTCTTTGCCGGCTGTGGTTGCTTGAGGAGACGGGGTGGTTTTACCACGGACGGGCAGCCTGGACTGGAAACCCTTAGATCTTCCAGACTCGACACTCGTGGGACAACCCTGATCCTTTTTAGCAGAGGATCTTGTAGACTCCCCCTCACAGAAGCTCTTGGCTTTGGAAGATTGAGTCTTTGTTTTCATGTCCACAGAAGGACCGGCATCTGTCTCAGATTTTCTCCTTGTACCTTTTTTTACAGGAACCTTTAGCTTTTTGTCCTGAGAGGATTCCCCACGCTTAGAGTCAGACTTGACAAGGCTAGCCTTGACAGGAATCCTGGATTTAGCTTCTGAGGGGGAGGAGGTATTTTTTCTATGAGCTGCTGAAGGGGCTGTTCCATGACATGGTGAAGGAATCGCAGATTTGGCCTGATCCTGAGGAACAGACTTAGCTTTGGCTGTGCTTTGATTCTTCTTACCGTTATGGGAAGCCCCTTTAATTGCCTGCTTGCCTGCTGTTTTGGGGGCTTCAACCACTGACTTTGTCTCCTCTGGGGAGGAGTCAGAAGACTCCTGGCCTTGCTCGGAATAAACAGATCTAGTCACAGTAGTTTCTGCAGTCTCTACATTCGTTATAGGCTGTTCATTTGAGATCGTTTCTAAATCTAGTGACCCTTCATCTACAGTTTTCTCATTTTTAGACTCGAGAGGTTCAGGGGAGAGCAGATCTTTCCTAGAAGCTTTGGTTGAAGCTGAAATGCCCATTTTAGGGATTTTAGACTTGGAAGCATAGGCTCTACAGCCTGACTGATCCCCTTCAGGTGGGGGACACACCTGCGCATCAGCTGATGCCATATCTTCCTCAGTCTTAAGCTCTAGTGTTAAGTTGAGACCTACTGCTGATCTATCTTCTTGCTTGGGCTCCTCTAAGGTAGGTTCCTCTAAAGCCTGGTCTCCTATGTGAAAAAAAGCGAAGCCAGCCCCCTCCTCCTCATAGCTTCTCTTGGTCATATCTATGGCCCCACTGCGGGTCATCTCAAAGAGCTTCCCTTCCTGGAACAGGAAGGGATTGGGCTCACTGGTAGGAGTGCTCTCTTCTGTTGGTGTTCTACCAGGCGTGGTGTCTGGAGTTCCTTGAGACTGACGGTCCACCACCAGATTCAGGATCTTCTGTTCTTCTTCTTTTACACGGGCCTCAAATGTGGCATCATCCTCTCGCATGGCAGACCATGACTCGGCGTCTACTCTTGCAGTGACTCCCTTTGATTCAGTTCTAGGAAGATTTGATGCTTTTTTGCCTCCTTCTGCATCATTATGGGCAATGACCACTTGTTCAGTTTGACTTGTGGGAACTTCTGGACAGAGAGCAGCTCCGGGGGAATGACCCCATCTATCTTCTTTCACTTCATCTGTAACATTGCAGCTTGTTTTTTGTGTTCCGGTCTGTACCTTGCCTAAAGCTAACTTCTGACTGCTATTATCATCTTTATGCTCCCTTGACATCTTCAAGCTCTCGTGTTTTTGCTCGTCTGTCCTGTTTTCAATGCTTGAAGTTAATGATGTTTTGTCAGAAACATGTTTAAGGGCTTCAGCAGATGAAGGGACGTCCCCCCATGGACTTATGGATTTTGAATGATGCTGGTCTGAGACAGAGTGAGGTCCCTCTGCTGTGACAGTGGCTGATGTACTCTTGAACTCTTTGCTCTGGGTTCCATCATGCATACCTGCTGAAAAAGGAGAGGGAGGTTGTACTTTAATATCTGAACCAATCAAAACAGCTAACTTTGACTCTCCTGTGCGCCTATTGAGTGGACTTTCAATCTGCCAAAGCTTCTCGCCGCTGGGCTTTAATCTTTCACAGCTGTTATCCCCTATCTTGTCCTCTGTTGAGGAATACAGATAATCGCTAGACTTCCTTTTGCCCTTTGTGTCTTGTTCCATTTCATTAAAGGTTTTTATTTTTGCTGCCATCTTAAACATGTCCTTCTCTGGAGTGATCTTTCCTTTAGCTTCAAGGTTGTCTGTTGCCTCCTGGTCTTCTGGGTCTTCAGGAATAACAGCTGTTTTGAATGAAATACATAGGAATGCATTTTCAGGGAGTTTGGTGTTTACCTCATAACTTACCTCTTCAGAACTAGGGGTATCAGGGGAGAGGGGACTCTTACCCGAACTCGTCATCTGAGATGTCTGCTCACAACTGTCATCATCAGCGTAAGCTTCAGGGTCTCGAAGCTGCCTACCATGGAAAGCCTCATGGGGGAGGTCTTTGCCCTTACAGGGTGGTGTGTGGCTAGAGGAGTTCTTAGGACTGGATGTTGGTGGGAAGGATGGGTGGCTCTTTTGCTCTACAGGACTGCTCTCCAAGGAATCGCGAGGGGGGGATTCTCTGGTTGGACTGGGCTCAATGGAGTCTGGGGATTTATGGGAAGAATTGTCTTCCATCAGAGGACTACCCTCGAGAGAGTCTCTGTTGCTTATTGTCAAAGAGTCATCGGCTAATGGGCTGAGGGCATCAGAGTCTTGCCTTAAAGGCAGGTTAAATGTTTCATGATGCTTAGATGGGGATCTAGAGACTGGAGAACCAACTAACGACAATGCTACCTGATCATCAGGGCTATCATCATCACTAAGAAAAGTTTCTATGGTTTCTGAAACTCTCTTTGTAAGTTTTTGAGGTTTAGGTGGTTTAGACTCAGTCCTTCTAACAGATATTGACTCACTTGTGTGGTCATCTGCAGCCTCGCTGGAAGAGATGGGTAGTGTCAGTTCTATGGAGACTTGGTCACCAGAGGTCCCTACACCCGAGTCTCCAGACTTCTCTTTGTCTTTTCTAACCTCAGTGGAAGCTGAAGCCGTGGCTGTAGAAGGCTGTTGTCCAGAAAGGCTCTCAGGGCTTGTGCCTGGACTTGCCAGTCCTTCGTGTTTGTAACTGTCCTCTGAGCTAAGATGATGGGTTCCATCTCCAGAGCTGGCACTAAGGGATTCTGCCACGCCTTCATGTTTGCAGCTGTCAGAGCTATCATCAAGGCCACCATTTCCAAAGTCTACAGTTTCAGTTAGTTCAGAAGGAGCGCTGGGTTTGATTTCTATATCTTTGTTTGCATTTCTGGGGTCTGACGACACGTCTTGACCTTTAGAAGCCATTGCTTTGGTCACAGACTTTGACTGGACTGCTTCAGCTTGTGGAGTTTTGGATGTTTTAAGCTCAAACAACCCAGACTTTCGCTTTGAGGGATCTTGTCCTGTCCGGAAGGCTTGCATTAGCTCTTTGACTGACATTGTCTCCTCGATTTTTTCTGAGTCAGCTTTAGGGGATTTAGGAAGAGGGTGTTTGGTTTTAGTTGTTTCTTTGGTTTTTAGTGGGGATTTAGTCATAACAGGCAAATGGGAGGGCTTGCTACCAGTGGCTTTTTTGCTCTTTTGCTCAGCCTCCACTTTTTGTTGTAAGGCTTTCACTTTGTCCTTTATGGATCCAATGGGAGTTTCTTCAATCACTGGGGATACAGGTGATGGTGGAGCGGGAGCTGATGGCACGCTAAGAAGAGCCCCTGGCTCCGAGGATCCCTCTGGCTGCTCTTCGTCTTTTTCCTTCTTTCTCACTGGTTTTTTAACACCACCAGTTGTGCTGCTTTCATGGGATTTGGCTTGAGCTGTTGGTTTCGAACTTTTCCGCAGAACGATATCAGTGAATTTTTCTGTGCTAGCCGTCTCTTTTTTAGTCTTTACTTTGGAACTTGCAGATGCATCTAGGAGATATTCTTTAAGGTCACCGCTGCCCTTTATGGCTTTTGGTCGGGGAGCGCCTCTCTTAGCCCTACTTTCACGTAAGATAGGCTCTTGAACTTCTAGGGCAGCCATTTTTTTGGCCTCTTCTGTCTCTGAGTCTGAGAGGAGAACCCACTCCTCAGCCATTCTGGCTGCTTTAGTGGCCTCTTCTGCCCCCTCGCTCTGATATGTCCCACTTCTCAGTATCTCACTGACTTTCTCAAGGTCCTCCTTGACTTTTTCAAGGTCCTTTTCCATTATCTCTAACGGTTCTCCAGACACTTCCTCTGTCCCCTTCTCTAGACCACACCTCCCTAAAGACGGGGATTTCTCTGTGGAGTCTGCAGTCAATATGGCAGTCATTTTAATCAAATCCTGTTTCATCTCTGACACATCGGACAGAAGATCCGGTTCTCGAATCAGCTCAGATTTCAGGACTGATGAATCCGTCTCTTCATCTTCCGTTCGGAAGAAGAACAAGTAAGGATCAAAGAAAAGCAAAAAGTCAAATGAAAGGAGACAAACATTGGAGAAGGTGGTCAGGATCATATTGGAACAAGCTGCAGGATCATAGGACATCATGTTCACAGTGGGGTGTATCACATGCAAAAGGCTTAGACATTTTCAACATCTGGGGAAAAAATGATGGGAAGGATATGAACAGGAAATAACTTGCTTAAGCTCTCACACCCACACGCACAGGACGAGACTGAGCTAAATAATGCCCTTAAAACATGTACGACATAAAGGTGAACGAGACAGAAAACAAAGAGGAGACTTTGAAGGATCTCAAGATTGCTCAAATAAAGGTCACACTTCACGGGATGACGGATGAAACGGCTTCAAATCAATGCAAACAGAATAGCTGACTACTGAAGACAGGCAGCGGTGTTCTGCCAAACACCTGAAGGATTAACATTTGGTTCATCACTTTCAGAAAGATTTGAAAAGCTCCAATTTTCTCTCTGTCATCTATTCTGTTTTAATGAAATCTAAAAAGCTACGACACAATGAAGAGGAAATAAAACCGACGCAGTCATTAAACATTCATACAAACACACAAATATGTTAGGCAAGTTATTTCCATGCAAAGCAAAGGGAAGGGAGGATGGAAGGAAATGGGGTGGACAGATTTAAGGTGGACTGGAGCTTAAAGTCGTAGGGAAGAGGCTGTTCCTACGGTTGCATTTCCGAATTCTCCCGAGTGGTGCCCGACTTTACACGAGTGAATAAAGTGAATGTGATTGGTCGATTATCAAGGGGGCGGGATTGTTGTAGCTGAAGGTTCGCAAGCAAGTTTGGTTGTGGCCGGTTTGTGGGAAGCATCTTGCTAACCAGTTAGCATCTTAGTGCTAGCAGGTTCCCAATGGGAAATTCCATTGGGACCAAGTAGCACTAAATTGGTGACTTAGAAACGACGCTGTCAAGGAACGCTATGGACAGCGGAAACATGCAAGAGGAGGAGAGTTTAGTGTCGGAGGTCGTGGATGAGTCTCCTCCGTCTCCGTTCAACGGAGCGCTAACAGAGCTCAGAAAATGAAGTTAAAAGTTAGTTTTTCTGTTGCTGTTGTTCAATAATAGTTTTAAGATCATTTGAGGGAGAACATTATACTTTAAGCTTCACTATATGGCCCATTTACTGATTTAATGCATAATTTAAAAAATTTTTCCAGAGTTGAGAGGACCGCGGCAACCATTGCTGCTCCGTCTGCAGCAGCCAGGGCTAACCTTAGCCCGTCTGCAGCGACCAGGGCTAACATTAGCCCGTCTGCAGCGGCCAGGGCTAACGTTAGCCCGTCTGCAACTGCCAGGGCTAACGTTAGCCCGTCTGCAGCGGCCAGGGCTAATGTTAGCCCGTCTGGAAGCAGCCAGGGCTAACATTAACCCGTCTGCAGCAGCCGGGGCTAACGTTAGCCCGTCTGCAGCGGCCAGGGCTAACGTTAGCCTGTCTGCAGCGGCCAGGGCTAACGTTAGCCCGTCTGGAAGCAGCCAGGGCTAACATTAACCCGTCTGCAGCAGCCGGGGCTAACGTTAGCCCGTCTGGAAGCAGCCAGGGCTAACGTTAGCCCGTCTGCAGCTGCCAGGGCTAACGTTAGCCCGTCTGCAGCAGCCCTCTCTCTGCATAGCCGTGTGTGAAGGACCGCTGGCTCTGATGGAGGTTTGATTGTTTTATTTGGCAAAATGTTCGTTTGATTTGTGTTTATCTGACTGTGTTCATTATTATTCCTCCACTATATGAAAAAAGTCAGAATTTATTATTATAGAGAGATTATTAATAACAGGAGGTGATATGCGGCTCCAGACACGCTTCTGTTCCAATGGAGCCAGATTTATGCTGCGTGCTCCCGTTTCTCCCCGAGTCCAGACTTTCCTGGCTTCTAGTCAAGAACAGACTTGCTGAGGACACGAGTAACTAAATTGTTAACGGCCAACAATTCACTCTCCAACTACAAACCTGTAACAGTCACCACTACTCTGCGAAGATTCTTATTTGAACTGAAAAAATATGATTGACAGATGAGCGTTGATATATGATTGGCCGAATTTAGGTGTTCAGGCTGACGTAGAACTAACTGGCCTGCAGAAGATAACGGAAAGAAAACACAGATTTAGGACAGGATTTATTTTAAATAGAAATTTTCTACATTTTGGGACAATATGGTCTGATAAAGAGAACATTTTTATCAGGGTTTATACAGGAACGAATTCCTTGTTTTCCAACTACTTCTGTTGAAATTTGCTTTTTCCACGCTAATATATCTTGATATAATATGTCTGACGAAATTGTTTTTATAAAAAAATTTTTTAATAAAGCATTTTAAATGCCACAATAAACACATTTAATGAATTTTAATGCCAATTAAGGCCTTAATTTAAAAGATAATAATTTAATGACTTTTAATTATTTTTAAAGCCAGAATGTTTTGACATTTAAATAATATTTCCTTACGACTTTAAAGCCTCGCCTGCCGTCTACAAAGGATTGAGTTCATTGCAGAGTGGAGTTAGTGGTTTATTCCCAGCATCCAGCCATCTATGAGCCCTCAGCGTTTAGCTTCATGTGTGACACGAGCTGTTATCTGTGAAAGCTCGGCTTGGATCGGTGAAAAAACTGAAAGGTGTTAAGGTGGAAGGACAAGATCTTAGAGGTGGTCAAGAGGAAGTGACAGGAAGCTAAGGGAAGCTACTAAACTTCAACGTTCTTGGAAACGGGCAAACATAAAGTCTCCTCTGGACTAATCACATGATCCAATTACTAAAACACTGTTCTACCAGATTGCTGAGGGGTTTTGGGGGGCTGCATAAGAACAGAGACCATCCCATAATAGCCCCAAAGGTCAAAGAAAGTGTTTCTAAAAGGTCAGTCTGCAGTGGTGAAGGCTGAATGTTTTCAAATCAATACGAGTGATGGAGGTGAAAATAGAAAGAAAAAGTAAGAGAAGAAGTTAAGCCTCTGGAAAAGCAGCAACAGGTGGGGAGGGGGGTTAAACAGTGGGGATGATGTAAAGCTGATAAAAGGCTGGAATGAGGAGGAGCTGCAGCTCCTCACAGTCTAAGAACGACACGGCATCAGAGATCGAGAAGAAATGCTTACATCTGTGAAGGTTTCTGCCGTTCTGAAAGAGAAAACAGAGAACGGGTCACAGTCGGTCCGTTTAAACACCAACCAGCATCTACTGGGACGTTAGAAGAACTGGTTACTGGGAAGCAGCAGAAAACAGGGGGCAGCGGCTGCTTTACCTCATCTTCCTGTTCCTGGTCGGAATCTGAGTCCTTATGGGAGCAAAAAGCAGCAGGAAGCAGAAGGAGCACAGATAGAGACACAGTAAAGACAGGAGGCAACGCAGATGAAGCTCACTTTGTTTAAAACTATTTGTTCATTCTAAGTGTGAATTTGAAGTAGTAGAGAGAGTTACATCCTAAGTTTTGTGTTTGTAGAATAAAAAAATAAAATTAACAAAAAAATTGCACAAATTCTATTCTCCAGGTTGCACATCAAAGTTGCTCCAAATGGTCCAGAACTATTGTTGCAAAACTATTGTTCATTGTAACTTTGGTGTTTTGTAACTGTAGATTTTTTTTAATTCGTCACAATTACAAAAAAAAAAAGCTACTCGTCTTCAAATTCTTAAGGAACAAGTTTGCAGATTGTTTTCTGAGAATCGCACATCAGAAAATGTCTTCAGTTCAGTTTGGCTACAGACATTCGTGTCAAAGTGAAAATAAAGGTGTAACTGGTAAAGTTGAATTTGTGACTCACAGCAGCAGATTCATGCAGTTGTATTCTTTCATTTGTATTTGTGTTTAGGAAAAAAATGCATTTTTTTTAAGATTTTATTACACTTGTTTGAATTTGTTTTGCACCATTTATTTTTGATCAACTGTAGCCACATTTTTTTTTTTTGATGTGCAACTCTCAGAACACAATCTGTGAACTCGTACTGAAGAATTTAAAGACATGTAACTTTTTTTGTAATTGTGACATAAAAAAAAATTTACAATTACAAAACACCAGCGTTACAACGCACAATAGTTCTGAACCATTTGGAGAAAAAATGAGAATGTAAAAAGTTTTTGATGTGCAACTTGGAGAACAGAATTAGTGTGCTGGTACTTAATGTTTGAACAGGTGTAAAAAATATAGTACTTACGATTTTTTTTTCTACAAATACAAAACTTACAAATGTAACTTTGTCTACAACTTCAAATTCACTTACAATGCAGAAATAGTTCTAAACAAAATAACCTTCATACTATCAGGTCTGGTCCGGAGTCCAGAACCACCAACAGCAACATGATGTTGTTCACATCTATTTTACTGCTTTATTTCAGATCATCAGTAAAACACAGAAAACCGTTTTCAGATCATTTCAGATGTTTGGATTCATTAAGGGGAAAAAAAGGTTTATTTATTCAGAGAGGGGACATGATGTTCTGATCCAAAACGCAGCAATGATTGTGGGACCAGATCATGGCTAGATCTGGTCCCAGCTAGATCTGGGGGGTGGGGGGGGGTGGGGGGGGGGGGTAGGTACCTGAGAGGATGGAGAGAAACTGAACCAAAGAAATCTGATAATTGGGGATTTAATTAAAACATCCTGACTTTGGATCTACTGCCACCTTCAACTATAACCATCTCCATGTCTGTCGTTGATGCAGTGGCACCACATGGACTCTACCACTAGGGGGCATGCACACTCTCACAATGGGCCTGGTTGCCTTTTTCCCCTTAAGAAATGAATGATGTGAAAACTGCTTTCTCTGTCTGCTATATTAAATGTGAGTTAAAGTCTTCATGCATCGGTAGACTATTATTTAGAAGCCTGATTTAGACCCAGGGAGGCCGTTCTTACTTTGCTGTACGATGGAAGCGTGATGTTGAGGTTGCATATGGCGTTATGCTGAAGTGACCTGTAGTTCCTGGGCTCCTTCATGAACGACAGTCGGCCACACGGCTCCTGGGTGTTATCTCGGATCTATGGAAGCGGCCGGATCAGAAAGCGAGATGAGGCTCAGCGGGGTGGAACCATGAAGCTCCTGTGACAGCCAAAGAAAGGGGGAACGGCCCTTACCTTGATAAAGAGCGCCAGCCTGTTCTCTTTAAAGGCGTAAAAGCTGAACAGGTGGTGTTGGCCGCTCTTGGTGAGTGGAACAAGGTTTCCAAAGCAGTCTGCGTGGATCGGTTTCCCTTCCAGAACCTGAACACATCAGCAGGAACATGTAAATACCTCGATTCAGGACAGAACAGGCCAAGCTATAAAGATGCCTTCGTTCACCGATCTACTCCCCAACCCCACTGATGGCGGTCCCAGTGGATATATCCCAAAGCGCCACTGATGGCGTTCCCCTGGATATATCCCAAAGCGCCACAGATGGTGTTCCCTCTGTATCTAATCCCAAAGCGCCACTGATAGCGTTCCCTGTGGATCTAATCCTAAAGCGCCACTGATGGCGTTCCCTGTGGATCTAATCCTAAAGCGCCACTGATGGCGTTCCCCTGGATATATCCCAAAGCACCACTGATGGCGGTCCCTGTGGATCTAATCCCAAAGCGCCACTGATAGCGTTCCCTGTGGATCTAATCCTAAAGCGCCACTGATGGCGTTCCCCTGGATATATCCCAAAGCACCACTGATGGCGGTCCCTGTGGATCTAATCCCAAAGTGCCACTGATGGCGTTCCCCGTGGATCTACTCCCAAAGCGTCACTGATGGTGGTCCCCATGGATATATCCCAAAGCACCACTGATGGCGTTCCCTGTGGATCTATCCTAGCTTTCGTCTGTCTACATGCTAAAGCGTTGCGAGTAAAGGTCCTGGCTGGTCTTTGCTAAGCCCCAGCTCTGTTCCTGATTCTCACCTCTACGTCTCTGCTCCGGGCCACCTCGGTGAAGTTCTCCTGCTGCTCCAGGGTTTTATCGATCTTGTCATCAGTCATACAGAAGCAGCGTAATCGGGCCTCGATCGGGTCATGGCTCTTGGCAAAGATCACAAACTTGGCCATGTAGGGAACACAGATGATCTCTCGATACACCTGAGTGGAGAAGTTGACAGACTCGTGGACTTGCCTACAGTCTATGAGCCAGAACCTTGGAAGGAGAGGGAGCAGAGCAGAGGTCAGAGTTCACCAGCGGGTATATCGTGACCATGAATCGGCGTGATGTTATACCTTGCAGAGACATTGGTGGTGAAGGAGACGCAGTCATTGATAAACGTTAATGGTGTGGTTCCTGTGATGTCCTCCCACTGAGCAGGCGTCGTTCCTCCTGAACATTGACAGAAAATCCAGTGTTCAGACTGAGAAAGTCACACCGTTCAGGTTTCTAAATGAACGCGAGAGCTTTATCTGACCGGTGATGCTGCAGAGCAGCCGCAGAGAGGGTGTGTCCCCTCCAAAGCCATTGAGGTTTGGGTCGGTGCTGCTCTTGGGGACCGGGATGGTCATGGTAATGGGTTTGTGGAACTTCCTCCTGCGAGGCTCCAGGGTGACTATGGGACTGAAGGTGGCCTTGTTTCCAAGGATCTTCCTCACTACGTCAACATTCACTGGCTGGGTCTGTGAAAGGAAAAACACTCACAGAGGAAAGTTCTGGAATTCTGAACGTCCGCCCACCTCCACCAATCTACGCCCTGCAGAGACACACCCTGCTGTACAAAGCTACCAGAGGGGGACGGAAGAAGTTACCTGCAGACCAACTCTAATCCTCTTGGTGAGCGCCCCCTCCGGAAACACCGCCTGCACTTGAGGCACCACGGTGCTGCTCAGGATGCCTCCCTCTGGACCAATGAAATGACTGTCCTGCTTGATGCGTGAAACGACTGCAAAGTATTGGGGGACGTCTCTGGTAATGATCCTACAAATGCGTCTCCTCTCCAGCTCCTCTGGTGGGTCCAGTTCTAGAGACGTGAGGTGAGAAGGAGGCGTGTTAAGGAGGGCTTTTTTGGTTTAGTCCACTCACAGCAAGAAACCGACCTTCATCCATGCCGTTCAGGATCTGGTTGAGCTCCTCTGGAGTAGATTCACACTGATGCTCCTTCCAGCTCTCCCCGGTCTCACTCCTGAGGATCACCAGCTCCCGCTCCTTCCCTCGGAGCGAGGCGAAGTGAGGGATTTCAACAATCACAGGGCTGGAGGAAATGAGGGAAGATAAAGCTGGTCACTCGGACTGTATTAATTTCATCTCACATCTTCAAACACTGCGGGAGCTACTCTGTCCTCTTTGCCGTTTGTCTGTTTTAGCTTCCAGATTTAAATGCTCTCAGTAATTACCTGGGAAACGCTTACCTCCAACTAATGAGGAAGTTGTTAAATTAGCAGAAATGTCTCCTATGTTCTGACCATCTGATGAGAAACTTTAACTTCTCAAAACTACCAAGACCTTTGGATGGAGGTACTTTAGGTACTGTGGAAGGTGCACCTCGGCCTGCCTTTGGTTGATGAGCTTCTCGAATCGTGAACTTTGAATGTAGATGTAGTTTTCTCCTTAACAAACAGACGCCTACAGAAAACTGAAAGTAGAACCATTAACTACTTTAGGTTGACGTTCCTGTTGGACGGCCGACAGGTCTGAGTGGTCAGTCCCTGGTCTGGCTGCCAGACTGGCCTACGTCGTCTGAACCGCATGTCAATCAGAGAGGAACCGCTCTGACCGTAGTATAATGATACTCAGGTTGCCGTCCTTTTGAACCACTTTAAGCAGTCAGCATGCTGATGTAGCTGAGCTGCTATCAGAACATGCAAAGTGTTATGGGTAATGGTGTCTTCATGCCAAAAGCATTGGCTCATAAAAAAAAAGGCATCAAACGCTTCAAACTGGACGCTGGTGTTCTTTGAAGGCAGAACTGCATCCAGAGCATCCGCACTGTTCTAGATGTGAGTCTGAGTGGGGAGGAGCTACCTCCTTGTTTCCCTTTGCTGGTCTATTTTCTACAGAACAAACAGGAAGTGGTTTCATGAGGCGAGAGAGCGCTGCGGACATTTACTATTGACACAGAGTTTAATGAGGCGTCACTATCAGAGCGACTTTAAGCTTTAAAGGAAAAGTCGCTCATATTCAGAATCCAAACTTCTGAAAGTTCTTTTAATCTGAAATGATTCCATCCTGTTCAATAAATGATCAGTGTTTTTAATTCAGAGTCATTTTCATGTGAATGTGCTTTACTGGAGGCATCCATGTTTGTCAAAGAACACTACTGCCACCTACTGGTTAGTGACATTGTCACGGTGCGGTATCGGCTGTTGATCAAGTCCCAGTGCTGTATCTGGTGTTTGTCACAACGCGCTATTATCCAAGTCATCTTGAAAACATTCTTCTTCCAAATGTTGGCTACATATTACGGGTTTTTTCTCTGGCCAGAAGTTCGATGGCAAATCCTCCCTCTTCAAGTTGGCGATCCAACGACCAACCCGTCCGTGGAGGATCAGGAATCAGAAAGGTGGAATAACTCTTTTCACTTTTACCCGATGTATTCCAGCATCCAGCTGCCATGCACGTGGGCATTGTCAGTTTCACTATAGCTCTGGTGAATTTCAATGGTGAAGTCCTCTGGAAATCTTCAATAATTGTTGTTGATTGCAGATGTGTCTAGTAGTTCCCATTGATTTAGCTTGGAAAGCGGGGAGAATGGCGCTAGGCTTACCGCACCGTGACGTCACTGCTGGAAGATGGCAGGAGGGAGGGGCTACTAGATTTGGGCAAAAATGGCCGCTCCTGGACTCAGTGATCGCAATGAAAATTATAGTTTTTATTTTTTTATTGGTTAAAGCTAAACTTATCAAATCACCACGGCCGTATTAGTTCTGGTTATAAATCATGGTCCATTGGACTTATCCGTATCGGCGCCATCTCATGTCAGGATACTTGATTTCATACTTGAAAACGCACGCCATCGCGGAGGTCGGGCTTCACTTCACCATGATGTGTGTTCAGGTTTATAATCCTGAGAGCTTAGAAACGGCAGCATGAGGACAGGAGCGGTGCGTACGGCGGCGTTCAGGCGGTCTGTGGGGGTTTGAGGCCATATGCAGAAAATCAGAGTTAGCCTGGATCAGCTGCAGGTCAGAGTGCAAACGTTACACTAAGATGCTGAAAGTCGTTTCTAATCTACTGAAGCAGTTCAGGATTCAAACTGTGGGATTATCAGAGTCACTGGACAGAAACAGCATCAGATTAAATATTATTGTCCTGTAAATAAGTGTAAAATTTAAAAATTCGTTTAGCATCTAGCCTGAATCCACCAAACATAGATCCTTTCATGCTAATAAAAACATGGCCGACATAAATACAAGGAGGAGAAAACCCTGCCAAAATAATCCAGAGCTAAAGCTAACGCTCATTAATCATGGAGCTAGCATGGCTGAGCTCCATCAGGCTCCGCCTCCAGTCGGGACAATGGCAGCGTTAATATTGTGAATGAAGGTGACGGCCTTCAGAAGGTGAGGCTCATCCTTACCTGCATGAGCGTCGCCTTCATCAGCACGCGTCTGCATCTAGCAGCGCCAAATGAAGCACGCAGGCGGCCATGAAGTGGTTCTTAGTCCTGGCAGCAGGTTTTTAAACAGGTGAAAAACACCTGATTGAGCGGTGCAGACCTAACGATGGCGCCGCTGACGTTCAGCGGCGTCCTACCTGAGCTCCAGAGTTCACTACAGCCAGCTCACCACGGACAAACAACCAGTTCAGTTTCACACTCAGACAAACGGAGATCTAGGGAGCAAAAGCCAAGCACCCAGGCAGAGAGGTTCACAGGTGGAGAAAGGCTGAAACATCTGGAATATCTGGCTCTATAGAGCTACAGTCCTTTCATCGCCATAAAGGCCTGAAGGATGCATGGCGGAGACCCGGTCAGGTGGATCCACCTCCAGGCCGAGCAGAGACTGGACTTCCTGCTGATGAACCGCACGCCGATGCTGCGTCAGCAGAACCAAGATGGAGGCAGGTGGTCTCTGAGACTTTAATGGAACTACTGCATGAAAAATTTTAGCCTTTTAAAGTGTTATTTACTGTTATTTATTTTACTTCATCCTTCTGGGCAGCTTCACCCACATGAAGGAGTGGTTCTGACTGAGATGACTCGTCACCTGGTGGAGTCTGCAGCGCGCCCAGGATGTGATAACCCACAACCTGAGCAGGAAGCATTGGGCAGAAACGCTTTGTTTTTCCTTACGGGTTCCTTTATAGCTTGGAGAACCTCAGTCAGAACCCAGAGCTAACTGCTAACATGACTGCTAACTGCTCAATGCTAACATGACTGCTAACTGCTCAATGCTAACATGACTGCTAACTGCTCAATGCTAACATGACTGCTCAATGCTAACATGACTGCTCAATGCTAACATGACTAGCTAACTGCTCAATGCTAACATGACTGCTAACTGCTCAATGCTAACATGACTGCTCAATGCTAACATGACTGCTAACTGCTCAATGCTAACATGACTAGCTAACTGCTCAATGCTAACATGACTGCTAACTGCTCAATGCAATATGACTGTTCAATGCTAACATGACTGCTAACTGCTCAATGCTAACATGACAAGCTAACTGCTAAAATGACTGGCTAACTGCTTAATGCTAACATTACTAGCTAACTCTTCAATGCTAACATGACTAGCTAACTGCTAACATGACTGCCTAATTGCTCAATGCTAACATGACTGGCTAACTGCTTACATGACTGGCAAACTGCTCAATGCTAACATGACCTGCTAACTGCTCAGTGCTAACATGACTAGCTAACTGCTAACATGACTGGCTAACTGCTAACATGACTGGCAAACTGCTCAATGCTAACATGACTAGCTAACTGCTAAAATGACTGGCTAACTGCTTAATGCTAACATGACCTGCTAACTGCTCAATGCTAATATGACTAGCTAACTGCTAACATGACTGACTAACTGCTCAATGCTAATATGACTAGCTAACTGCTAACATGACCGGCTAACTGCTTTTTGCTAATATGACTGGCTAACTGCTAACATGACTGGCTAACTGCTCAATGCTAACATGACTGGCTAACTGCTCAATGCTAACATGACTGGCTAACTGCTCACATGACTAGCTAACTGCTCAATGCTAATTGCTTGTAGCTTAATAATGCTGTGGATACTCTTTATGCAGCTGGTTGACGCTCACAATAACAAAGATGCTGAAAGTTAGCCAATGTTTACTAGCAGCTTCACGTAGCTTTTATCCCACTGCGGTGGGGGTGGGGGGGTATCAGTAAAATGAAGAAATATTTCTTAATGGATAAATATATTTTAGCATCAGACAGACATCATGTTTTAGTCCAGGTTGACCTTTAAGGTTAGTCTGTAGTTCTGTGGTTCTGGATCCAATCAGTTCTGTTCTTAGCAAAGACCTGCTGGGTCAGTTTCTCCAAGCTTCTGCAGAACATGATAAACCCATGGATGCTATAAGGAGGAGGAGGCTCAGCTATCAGACCAACCAGTCCTTCTGGGTGCTTTGCTTTTGGGTGGGGGGGACACAGATGAAGCAAAGGGAGGCTTAAAGGGCAGCGATGATGATGATGATGAAGATGGGAAGACATGCAGAAATGAACAGTAACACAGGAGCTAAGGAAGGCGTCCATGGATTGCTTCATATCTCGTCCTTCATGAGGTCTCATCGCCCTACCCAAGGAATTTGGTCCCCGGCGGACCAAGCTGGAGGATTCTGCTAACCAAACTCTCTCCCTCATTTAAAGGCGGAGGCGCGGCGGGGAGGTGGAGTTTACTGTGTGACGGCCATCGGCAGCAGAGTGGAGGAGAAAGAACACAGAACGTCTGGGTTCAATAACAGGTCAGATAAAATCAATACAAGCTCAACTTTATCAACACATTCAGCCTTTAACGTCCCTACTGAGGCCCAAACAGACCAGAACTACAGCATCATCCAGGATCCGGATTAATAATCCATCATTTCCTGTTTCCCTGGGCTGAAAAGCAGACATGGAACAGAGGAAGTGTCCTTCATGGCAGGCGGGACGGTTGCTCCTCTAAACCTGCATCTATCACAGCAGAAGGTCAGAGCCGCCTTCGTTTATTCTGTCTGATGTCATCTTCTCTGGGATTATTCTACTCAGATTAATCCTAAAGGATCTAAAACCACCAACTGGAACATTTTAAGCTGAACTGTCCTGCAGAACGTAAATAAAGGATGTCTCCACCAGAGGGCAGCGTGGCACCAAACATCAGACCAATCTTGGAGCGTTTCTGCAGGTTATTAGAGAAGCTGTTAGAGTTCAGGAAACGGGAGACAGTTAGCGGTTAGGAAATCAAAGTGTGCATGCTGAGGAGCCCGGCGCCGGGAGGAAGCAGCAGCACAGAGTAGGCGGCTGGGGGGGGCAGCCTGAAAGAAAGAGGGCAGCAGGAAGGAGGGGGGCGGAGTCTTCACCAATTATCTCTGACGGGTTAAAAGGCCCGCTAGCAGAGCTAACCGCAGCCAGCGGGGCGGGGCAGCCTTACCCCAGAAACTGGGCCCCAGACGGGCCCACCTCGATCAGCCTGCTGGCCAGACCCTCGCCCTCCACCATGGGGGGCATGGTGGCCAGACGGTGCCTCTTCACCAGCCGGCAGGTCACCCGCGTCGGGGCGCTGCACTTCTTGGGCGGAATGATGATGCGGAGGCCGTTGTGTCTGCAGCCGCGCATGGCTCCGCCCCTGGCGTCCACCATGAAGCTGACCAGGAAGCTGGAGGGGAGACAATGGCAGACGTTAGGACGCACGCCACTGATGACATCACACACCAGAACTCCTGATGACATCACCACAGTGACAAGCTGGGAGGGCAAGAGGTCAACCAGATCCAGTTCTACGGCGGGGGGGGCAAAACTGATCTATTCAGCAGGATTAGGCTCCGTTATCGTTAAAAACTCCTTTTATTAATAGAAATATGAAAATAAATTCAATCCAGAAATAAAACCTTGAAAATAACTTCAGAAAAACGTTTTAAGATCAGCTTTCCTGTTTTTCTTAGAATTGATTTTATTTCTGATTATTTAATAAATTTTGACGGAGTCTTCCCTCCAAGGGGCGGGGCTTGCCGCTGGAGGGAGGAGTCAGGGCGTGTTCCTATTGGTCTGATGGACGATAGGCAAAACGTCCAGCTTATCGGGAGAACTGGAAGCGAAGAGGATGTGATCTGGAAAGAAAAGTCTATTTGAAATGAAAAAAAAAGATATTTTAAAGTAAAAAAAAATAATAAAATAGGAAAAAATTTAATATCTAAAAAAATGTAATGATTGAAAAATGTAGATCAGAGAAAGTTTCTTTTAAAGTAGTTTTTGCTGAAGAAGTTTTTCAAAGTTTCATGTCTAGATTCTATTTTTTTATTTTATTTCCATGTTTATGGTTTGGAACTTTGCAAACTATGCAAACTACTTTGCAAACTATAGAAATTGATCCTAGAGTGAAGCTGCTGATGTCAGCAGGTAGAAGAGGATCTGCTAACCGCCTCCCCCCACCAGCGGCCCCTTCTCATGCAGCCACCAAACAGGAAGTGATGCGTGTTTCTACATGGAGGCCATGTTAGTGGATGATCAGACATGTCGTCAGCCGCCAGCGCCTCGGCCCATCCAGCCTTGGATCTGGGAGGCGATGTCTGCTGAGGACGGACACAAACATTCACCTCTCCCAGAGGAGAGCACGCTGTGAGAGGAGGAAGACTATGATGATGAAGACGATTGAACCAAGAGGCAGAGGGTCACCTGCTGTGGTCTCCATGATCAGGACACGGAGAGGAACGGCTAAAAACAAGGACAGGAACCATTAGAACCAGAGAGGATTCCTGGGTTGGATCCTTTCAACAGGTTGATCCACACCTGAAACCCTGGAGCTATGCTAATGCTAACTAGCCACAGAGGGGCGCTGTGTGCAGGAGGACCTACCCTGAGTGGATGGGGCTGGAGGACAGAGCCACGTTGTCCAGGTTCTCTGTTCCCCAGCTCAGTCTGTAGGAGTCCCTCTCATTGTCTCTGGCCAGCGATGAGACCTGGAACCCAACAGACGGCGTTACGTTCATTCATCTGGAAACGAGCCGCTCAGCACCGGAGCGGGCCGCTGCACGGCGCTCTGAGCCACGGCAGACCTGTCCGTCTGCAGCAAAGCCAGCGCTGAGAAAAGGTTCCTGCTAGGGGAGTACCTGCTGGGCCTGGAACGTCTCGCCGCCTTCGTGTCTCGGAGAGTAGAAGCCATGATGGGTGGGAGTGAAGGACCTGTCAGAACTGAAGCACAGCAGACCAGAGGAGGGTGAAACCAGTAGCTGACCTGGAGCAACCGGCCAACAGGTCCAGGACCGGACTAGATCCGGTTCTGCGACCCAGACTCGCCTGTTTCTGACGCAATGAGAGGAAACAGATTCATCCTGTGCTGCTAGATTATGGAGGGAAATCAGCTCCATTATTTCTGCAAAGTTTTATAGATGGAATGAAATAATTGAGAATTAAACCTAGAAATTCTTCATAGATCAAAATGTTTGTAGAGCTACAAAACAGATCAGATCCTCTTCCTCTGGGGGCGGGCTTTAGGAGCAAGGGCACATTTCTATTGGTCTGCTGGAAGCTAGCAGCAACACAGAAACTTTTCTGATAAAGAGAAATAAAACATATATATAAAAATATATAATCTGCAAAAAAAAGATAAAAAATGTGAGAAACTCTAAAAGTTTCTCTGAGAAGCTTTTTCTGTTCCAGAAGTTTTCCTTTGAATAAATATCTGTAGTAAATGAGCCGGAGCGGCACCCACCTGTCGGTGCGGGGCCCCTCCAGGCTGAAGCGCAGGTAGTTCATTCCATCCAGGTACTGTCCTGGCAGCGAATCGTCTCCCAGCTCCCTGAGGTCCTCGGGTCTCAGGTACTCTCCCCCGTCCCCCGTCATGATGTCATCACCTTCAGGAAAACAGTTGCCTGAGTTCAATTAGCTCGACGTTTAGCTGCACTGATGCAAAGCCCTGAAGCTGCAGCTGCTCTGCGGCTGCAGGTTTAGCATAGCAGGGGTCCGTTAGCCCTGAAGCTGCAGCTGCAGGGTTAGCATAGCAGGGGTCCGTTAGCCCTGAAGCTGCAGCTGCAGGGTTAGCATAGCAGGGGTCCGTTAGCCCTGAAGCTGCAGCTGCAGGGTTAGCATAGCAGAGATCAGTTAGCCCTGAAGCTGCAGTAAATAATACAGCCGTGTTTCCGACAACTTTCAGACAGTCTACGGCCATGTTCCAGACAATCTACGGCCGTGCTTCAGACAGTCTACGGCCAACTTTCAGACAATCTACGGCCATGTTCCAGACAATCTACGGCCGTGCTTCAGACAATCTACGGCCATGTTCCAGACAATCTACGGCCGTGCTTCAGACAATCTACGGCCATGTTCCAGACAATCTACGGCCGTGCTTCAGACAATCTACGGCCATGTTCAAGACAATGTACGGCCAACTTTCAGACAATCTACGGCCATGTTCCAGACAATCTACGGCCGTGCTTCAGACAGTCTACGGCCATGTTCCAGACAGTCTATGGCCATGTTCCAGACAATCTACGGCCGTGCTTCAGACAATCTACGGCCATGTTCAAGACAATGTACGGCCAACTTTCAGACAATCTACGGCCATGTTCAAGACAATCTACGGCCGTGCTTCAGACAGTCTACGGCCAACTTTTAGATAATCTACGGCCATGTTCCAGACAATCTACGGCCGTGCTTCAGACAATCTACGGCCATGTTCCAGACAATCTACGGCCGTGCTTCAGACAATTTACGGCCATGTTCCAGACAATCTACGGCCGTGCTTCAGACAGTCTACGGCCATGTTCCAGACAGTCTATGGCCATGTTCCAGACAATCTACGGCCGTGCTTCAGACAATCTACGGCCATGTTCAAGACAATGTACGGCCAACTTTCAGACAATCTACGGCCATGTTCAAGACAATCTACGGCCGTGCTTCAGACAGTCTACGGCCAACTTTTAGATAATCTACGGCCATGTTCCAGACAATCTACGGCCGTGCTTCAGACAGTCTACGGCCAACTTTTAGATAATCTACGGCCATGTTCCAGACAATCTACGGCCGTGCTTCAGACAATCTACGGCCATGTTCCAGACAATCTACGGCCGTGCTTCAGACAATTTACGGCCATGTTCCAGACAATCTACGGCCGTGCTTCAGACAATTTACGGCCATGTTCCAGACAATCTACGGCCGTGCTTCAGACAGTCTACGGCCAACTTTTAGATAATCTACAGCCATGTTCCAGACAATCTACGGCCGTGCTTCAGACAATCTACGGCCATGTTCCAAACAATCTACGGCCGTGCTTCAGACAATCTACAGCCATGTTCCAGACAATCTACGGCCGTGCTTCAGACAATTTACGGCCATGTTCCAGACAATCTACGGCCATGTTCCAGACAATCTACGGCCGTGCTTCAGACAGTCTACGGCCAACTTTTAGATAATCTACAGCCATGTTCCAGACAGTCTACGGCCGTGCTTCAGACAATCTACGGCCATGTTCCAGACAATCTACGGCCATGTTCAAGACAATCTACGGCCGTGCTTCAGATAGTCTACGGCCAACTTTCAGACAATCTACGGCCATGTTCCAGACAATCTACGGCCATGTTCAAGACAATCTACGGCCATGTTTCAATCTACGGCCATGTTCCAGACAATCTACGGCCGTGCTTCAGACAATCTACGGCCATGTTCCAGACAATCTACGGCCGTGCTTCAGATAGTCTACGGCCAACTTTCAGACAATCTACGGCCATGTTCCAGACAATCTACGGCCATGTTCCAGACAATCTACGGCCGTGCTTCAGACAGTCTACGGCCAACTTTTAGATAATCTACAGCCATGTTCCAGACAATCTACGGCCGTGCTTCAGACAGTCTACGGCCGTGCTTCAGACAATCTACGGCCATGTTCCAGACAATCTACGGCCGTGCTTCAGATAGTCTACGGCCAACTTTCAGACAATCTACAGCCATGTTCCAGACAATCTACGGACATGTTCCAGACAATCTACGGCCGTGCTTCAGACAGTCTACGGCCAACTTTTAGATAATCTACAGCCATGTTCCAGACAATCTACGGCCGTGCTTCAGACAATCTACGGCCGTGCTTCAGACAATCTACGGCCGTGCTTCAGACAATCTACGGCCATGTTCCAGACAATCTACGGCCGTGCTTCAGACAATCTACGGCCAACTTTCAGACAATCTACGGCCATGTTCCAGACAATCTACGGCCATGTTCCAGACAATCTACGGCCGTGCTTCAGACAGTCTACGGCCAACTTTTAGATAATCTACAGCCATGTTCCAGACAATCTACGGCCGTGCTTCAGACAATCTACGGCCGTGCTTCAGACAATCTACGGCCATGTTCCAGACAATCTACGGCCGTGCTTCAGACAGTCTACGGCCAACTTTTAGATAATCTACAGCCATGTTCCAGACAATCTACGGCCGTGCTTCAGACAGTCTACGGCCAACTTTCAGACAATCTACGGCCATGTTCTAGACAATCTACGGCCGTGCTTCAGACAGTCTACGGCCAACTTTTAGATAATCTACAGCCATGTTCCAGACAATCTACGGCCGTGCTTCAGACAATCTACGGCCGTGCTTCAGACAATCTACGGCCGTGCTTCAGACAATCTACGGCCATGTTCCAGACAATCTACGGCCGTGCTTCAGACAATCTACGGCCAACTTTTAGATAATCTACAGCCATGTTCCAGACAATCTACGGCCATGTTCCAGACAATCTACGGCCATGTTCCAGACAATCTACGGCCGTGCTTCAGACAGTCTACGGCCAACTTTTAGATAATCTACAGCCATGTTCCAGACAATCTACGGCCGTGCTTCAGACAATCTACGGCCATGTTCCAGACAATCTACGGCCGTGCTTCAGACAATCTACGGCCAACTTTCAGACAATCTACGGCCATGTTCCAGACAATCTACGGCCGTGCTCCAGACAATCTACGGCCGTGCTTCAGACAGTCTACGGCCAACTTTCAGACAATCTACGGCCATGTTCCAGACAATCTACGGCGGTGCTTCAGACAGTCTACGACCAACTTTTAGATAATCTACAGCCATGTTCCAGACAATCTACGGCCGTGTTCCAGACAATCTACGGCCGTGCTTCAGACAGTCTACGGCAAACTTTCAGACAATCTACGGCCATGCTTCAGACAATCTACGGCAGTGCTTCAGACAATCTACGGCCATGTTCCAGACAATCTACGGCCGTGCTTCAGACAATCTACGGCCGTGTTCCAGACAATCTACGGCCGTGCTTCAGACAGTCTACGGCCAACTTTCAGACAATCTACGGCCATGTTCCAGACAATCTACGGCCGTGCTTCAGACAGTCTACGGCCGTGCTTCAGACAATCTACGGCCATGATTCAGATACTCTACGTCCGTGTTTCAGTTGGAGGCATCTCATGAATCTTCCTTCACATCGTTGGACTAGCCTAGCCTTAGCAGGACAGGCTGCAGAGTGAAGCTGCAGGCTATGAGGGAGATGAACTGGACCAGAGGTCAGGATCTGCCCTAAAGCAAGATGGCCGCTGAGCAGAACCAAGGAGAGACCTACTGAGGTACGAGTCAGCAGTTCTCCTGCCCACAGAAAACTGGTTTCCTGGAGAAGCAAGAGGGTCAGAGGGCAGAGCAGACGTCAGACTATCATCCGCAGGAAGCTGAGACGGGATACAGAACACCCCAGCTGGACTACTGGGAACACTGGGAGTGGAGACTGGGAGGGAGAATGAAAGGAAGACTGGGAGGGCGACTGGGGCAGACGGGTTAGGTGGTCCAATGAAAGAACTGATCTGATTGAAATCTCTGAGAGGTGGAACAGGCCAGTCTGAAATGTTCTACCACCTTGATAACCAAACAGGAACATTCCTGGATACTGAGCTGATGAGCTCTATGATGGCAGCAGAAGATCCTCCTCCTGAGGACATGACTGCTTCTGATACAGGAAGACCAAGAGACGTACCTTCCTCATCCGACACGTCCAGGACTTCAGTCATGGTCTCAGGAACATTCAGCTTGTGTTTCTCCGTCACCGTCTGTCCAGAGGAAGGAGACACGTCACAATAGGTTCAATACAGCAGATACTGGTGGGAATGTGAGCAGGAATGACCCTATTCTGGGAGCAGGAAGCTGGGGGCAGTGGGCGGAGTCACGGAGATGATGGAGAAAGATAGAGACTCGCTGTTTTCCATCCAATCAGCCTCTGGGACTCTTTCTGTTATTTTTCTTAGAGCGGAATTAAAGACATTGCCAAAACTGATCTAAAAATAAAATCTATTTCTTAAAAGTCAGGTAATTGCCACAGTTTGAGTAGCAAATAATTAGGACAAGCTACCAATAAAATTATTGTCTTTACCCTGAAAAGCAGGAGAAATCCTAGTAAAGATTGTCAGGATCTGAGAAGGGTCTCTACTAGGTGCTAACTCCCTCTGTGTTTAGCTATCATCCAGCTCCTTTTTTCCTGGCATACCGTAGTCGTGGTAATGATCTCCTCAGTGACGACCCGCAGCGTGTCCACCACCGATATGTAGCCTAGCCTCCTTGCGATACCCAGAGCAGTGTTACCATTCTGGAGAAGGAGACATGGAATCAGAAGGCTCTTCTCAAACATAGAAGATAGCACTGGTATAAGCTAGCATGGGATGGTATAAGCTAGCATGGGATGGTATATGCTACCATGGGTTGGTATGAGCTAACATTGAATGGTATAAGCTAGCATTGGATGGTATATGCTACCATGGGTTGGTATGAGCTAACATTGGATGGTATAAGCTAGCATGAGATGGTATATGCTACCATGGGTTGGTATGAGCAAACATTGGATGGTATAAGCTAGCATTGGATGGTATATGCTACCATGGGTTGGTATGAGCTAACATTGGATGGTATAAGCTAGCATTGGATGGTATATGCTACCATGGGTTGGTATGAGCTAACATTGGATGGTATAAGCTAGCATTGTATGGTATATGCTACCATGGGTTGGTATGAGCTAACATTGGATGGTATAAGCTAGCATGAGGTGGTATATGCTACCATGGGTTGGTATGAGCTAACATTGGATGGTATGAGCTAGCATGGGATGGTATAAGCTAGCATGGGATGGTATAAGGTAGCATGGGATGGTATATGCTACCATGGGATGGTATAAGCTAGCATGGGATGGTATAAGCTAGCATGGGATGGTATGAGCTAGCATTGGATGGTATGAGCTAGCATGGGATGGTATAAGCTAGCATGGGATGGTATGAGCTAGCATTGGATGGTATGAGCTAGCATGGGATGGTATAAGCTAGCATGGGATGGTATAAGGTAGCATTGGTGGATATCAGCTAGCATGGGTTGGTATGACCTAGCATGGTTGATATGAGCTAGGATAGGTTGATATGAGCTAGCATGGGTTGATATGAGCCAGGATAGGTTGATATGAGCTAGCATGGGTTGATATGAGCTAGGATAGGTTGATATGAGCTAGCATGGGTTGATATGAGCTAGGATAGGTTGATATGAGTTAGCATGGGTTCATATGAGCTAGCATGGGTTGATATGAGCCAGGATAGGTTGATATGAGCTAGCATGGGTTGATATGAGCTAGGATAGATTGATATGAGCTAGCATGGGTTGATATGAGCTAGGATAGGTTGATATGAGCTAGCATGGGTTCATATGAGCTAAGATAGGTTGATATGAGCTAGGTTGGGTTAATATGAGCTAGCATGGGTTCGTATGAGCTAGCTTGGGTTGGTATGAGCTAGCATGGGCTGATATGAGCAAAAAAAAGGTTAGTATGAGCTCATGTTGTTTAGAGTGAGCTAACATTGTTTAGAATGAGCTATGCTGGTCAGAATGAGCTAACGTTGGTTAGAATGATCTATCGTCAGTTCGAATGAGCTAATGTCGGTTAGAATGAGCGAACGTCGGTTGGTGTAAGCTACCATCGGTTAGACTGAGCTAATGTTTGTTAGACAGAGCTAACATGGGTTGGTGTGAGCTAACGTTTAGTTTCCGAGTGTGTTTACGAACCACAGTGATGGCATTAGGTTTGGCACCGTACTGCAGCAGGACATTGATGATGTGTGTGTTTCCTTGCTGGGCAGCTTGATGTAAAGGAGTGTATCCGCTCTGAGGAGAGAAACGGAGATGAGTCAGGAACTAGCGAAGCTGAGAGCTCTGCGTTAGCTTCAGGAAAGAGGCTACCTTGGTCTTTGCATTGACGCTGGCTCCGTTTTGAAGAAGGAAGTTCACCATCTTGGCATTGCCGTAGTGACACGCTACGATTAGAGGCGTGTAGCCCAGCTGGAAAAAAAAACACAAATTAATGAGAGACAACATGCAAACATCCAAAAAAAACATTTTCATACAATTTTCATTAATCACTGTCATTTCTACGACTGTTTATACCAACAGGTTTATTTGGTGGAGGTTTTCTTTCTATTCATGTTCAGGTGAATTTAGTTAGTTTGGAAATTAGTGTTTGGTTTGGTTGATGTTCAATCAATCAATCAATCAATCAATCAATCAATCAATCAATCAATCAATCATTAATTCATGTTGAACGTAGAGACCTATTTTTGAAGAACAAAGTGATCAGACCATAACTAATTATGGTGAGAATCCAAAAATATCACGTAGACCCAAACCAGGTTAGGGAGCTCCAGGCTCTACAGGATGAAGTTGGTGGACAAAAGAGGAGAGACGGACTGGATGGTCATACCTTAGTCTGGTGGTCCAGGTTGGCGCCGTTCTTGGCGAGGATCTCGGCCACAGACACTCTGTCTTCTTGGGCTGCCAGATGGAGGGCCGTGAGGCCGCTCTGCTCCAGGAAACAAAGCAGTAACATCAACTCTTGATGGGCTAGGAGGGTGTAGCGATGCCTTACCCACGGCTTTGGCTCTGTACCTTGGTGGGGACGTTGATCTGGGCTCCCTTGGTGATCAGCAGGACTGCCATGTCTGCGTGACCCTCCTGGGAGGCCAGGTGGAGCGGAGTCACCCCCTGCTTGGTCAGAATGTTGGTCTCTGCTCCGTACTGCAGCAGCACCGTGGCGATGTCCATCTGGTTCTTCTTAGCCGCGATGTGCAGAGGAGTGTAGCCATTCTGGGTGATGGGGGCAGAGGTTGGGGTTAGCGCTGAATGCTAGCAGCCAGTGTCCTGAACCGACCCGAAGAACAGCATCATCAGGACCAGAGATCTAAAGCTACACTGGGGTCAGTGGAAGGGTCAGAGAGGAAGCTGCCAAAGGGTCAGTCTGGCGTGTTTAGTAAACCAAGCCTCATCATCACTGCTGACACACTGCTTTAGAACCAGAGAGCAGAGCCACCACATTCAGAGCAGCTCAAAAAAGTTACGACTTCAGTCTTAAAGTTGTAAAGAAGCGGCCGTTCCAACCGTTACATTTCTGAATTCTCCCAGTGGTGCCCGACTTTACATGAGTGAATAAAGTGAATGTGATTGGTCGATTATCAAGGGGGCGGGATTGTTGTGGAAGGTTTGCGAGCAGGTTTGGTTGTGGCTGGTTTGTGGGAAGCATCTTGCTAACCAGTTAGCATCTTAGTGCTAGCAGGTTCCCAATGGGAAATTCCATTGGGACCAAGTAGCACTAAATTGGTGATTTAGAAACGACGCTGTCAAGGAACGCTATGGACAGAGGAAACATGCAAGAGGAGGAGAGTTTAGTGTCGGAGGTCGTGGATGAGTCTCCTCCTTCATCCATTTTTATTTAGAGGAGGAAAGCGGGGACGAAGATGTTGTGGAAGAGGACGCCAGGGCGGCAGAAGCTTGGTTTGGTGTAGAAGGCTTCCAGCCGTACATGTTTGAGCCCTTGCCTCGCAACGCTGCCAGTTCTGTTAGCTCTACGCCTGCCGAAGACACCTCAGCAAGTCGGCCTCAGCAGATGGCCGCTCACACTGAGCCTGCTTCTGCTGGAGGTTTCTTCCTGTTCAAAGGGAGTTTTTCCTCTCCACTATCGCTACAAGCATGCTTAGTGTGAGGGATTCTAGATGTTTCACTGCATTAAACCAGAGAAGAAATCACAGGGATCCTTCCTGTTCCTGAAGGAGGCGCTGCAGACCCTCACCTTGGCCATAGTGTGGGGAGAAGCTCCTCTGTCCAAAAGCAGCAGCGCCACCTTTTGGTTGTCGTAGTGAGCTGCAACGTGGAGAGGAGTGAGGCCGTTCTGCAGGGGAGGAAGGCTGAGGGTTAGACAGCAGCTAGGGAAGCAGCATGGAGTCTGTTAGAGAGCAGCGGGGGGGGGGGGGGGTCAGCTAACCCCATCAGCGCCCAGGTAGAGAGACGCCGCAGGTTTACCTTCCCAGCAGAGTCAGGAGGCGCGCAGCGCTGCAGCAGCAGCTGGGCTACATCCAGGTTCCCATACTTGGCAGCGACATGCAGGGGGGTGAACCCTTTCTGCAGAGAGGAGAGAAACAGGCTGAGCAACATAGAAAAGAACAGAACACACACTGCAGAAACATCTATTATAGAGTTAAAATCAGCAGGTCTGAATACAGGAAACCATCAACCAGTAAAGATCAGGAGACATTAACAATGATAATCTGTTACTTTAACAGAATTAACACTGGAATAAAGTTAGCTTTTTATGCATCCATGTTATTGGATTGAATTTTTAAATAGAAAAATTAAAAAATTAGAAAATTTTTCCATTTCAAAATCGAAAGTCAATTAAAACTCCTAAACTGAGCGTTTGTTATTTTTTGTTCTTTTTTCTGTGGGGGCGGAGCACTGCGGGGGGAGGCGGAGTGCTGCAAGGCGGAGCAGTGATGGAGGATGTGGGATTTCGTGGTAACATGAGAAGCAGAGCAAGTGACGTTTAGACACTGTCGTCAGACAACATGCAGTAATTTATAAATTTTTTAAATCAGTTTGGATCCGGATTAGCCAGCAGGTGGATCTGGATCCGGATTGGCCAGCAGGTGGATCTGGATCCGGATTGGCCAGCAGGTGGATCTGGATCCGGATTAGCCAGCAGGTGGATCTGGATCCGGATTAGCCAGCAGGTGGATCTGGATCCGGATTAGCCAGCAGCTGGATCTGGATCCGGATTAGCCAGCAGGTGGTTCTGGATCCGGATTAGCCAGCAGGTGGATCTGGATCCGGATTAGCCAGCAGCTGGGTCTGGATCCGGATTGGCCAGCAGGTGGATCTGGATCCGGATTGGCCAGCAGGTGGATCTGGATCCGGATTAGCCAGCAGGTGGATCTGGATCCGGATTGGCCAGCAGGTGGATCTGGATCCGGATTAGCCAGCAGGTTGATCTGGATCCGGATTAGCCAGCAGGTGGATCTGGATCCGGATTGGCCAGCAGGTGGATCTGGATCCGGATTGGCCAGCAGGTGGATCTGGATCCGGATAGGCCAGCAGGTTGATCTGGATCCGGATTGGCCAGCAGGTGGATCTGGATCCGGATTGGCCAGCAGGTGGATCTGGATCCGGATTGGCCAGCAGGTGGATCTGGATCCGGATTGGCCAGCAGGTGGGTCTGGATCCGGATTGGCCAGCAGGTGGATCTGGATCCGGATTGGCCAGCAGGTGGATCTGGATCCGGATTAGCCAGCAGGTGGATCTGGATCCGGATTAGCCAGCAGGTGGATCTGGATCCGGATTAGCCAGCAGCTGGGTCTGGATCCGGATTGGCCAGCAGGTGGATCTGGATCCGGATTGGCCAGCAGGTGGATCTGGATCCGGATTGGCCAGCAGGTTGATCTGGATCCGGATTAGCCAGCAGGTGGATCTGGATCCGGATTGGCCAGCAGGTGGATCTGGATCCGGATTAGCCAGCAGCTGGATCTGGATCCGGATTAGCCAGCAGGTGGATCTGGATCCGGATTGGCCAGCAGGTGGATCTGGATCCGGATTGGCCAGCAGGTGGATCTGGATCCGGATTGGCCAGCAGGTGGATCTGGATCCGGATTAGCCAGCAGGTGGATCTGGATCCGGATTAGCCAGCAGCTGGATCTGGATCCGGATTAGCCAGCAGGTGGTTCTGGATCCGGATTAGCCAGCAGCTGGATCTGGATCCGGATTAGCCAGCAGGTGGTTCTGGATCCGGATTAGCCAGCAGCTGGGTCTGGATCCGGATTGGCCAGCAGGTGGATCTGGATCCGGATTGGCCAGCAGGTGGATCTGGATCCGGATTAGCCAGCAGGTGGATCTGGATCCGGATTGGCCAGCAGGTTGATCTGGATCCGGATTAGCCAGCAGGTGGATCTGGATCCGGATTGGCCAGCAGGTGGATCTGGATCCGGATTGGCCAGCAGGTGGATCTGGATCCGGATTGGCCAGCAGGTTGATCTGGATCCGGATTGGCCAGCAGGTGGATCTGGATCCGGATTGGCCAGCAGGTGGATCTGGATCCGGATTGGCCAGCAGGTGGATCTGGATCCGGATTGGCCAGCAGGTGGGTCTGGATCCGGATTGGCCAGCAGGTGGATCTGGATCCGGATTAGCCAGCAGCTGGATCTGGATCCGGATTGGCCAGCAGGTGGATCTGGATCCGGATTGGCCAGCAGGTGGATCTGGATCCGGATTGGCCAGCAGGTGGATCTGGATCCGGATTGGCCAGCAGGTGGATCTGGATCCGGATTGGCCAGCAGGTTGATCTGGATCCGGATTAGCCAGCAGGTTGATCTGGATCCGGATTAGCCAGCAGGTGGATCTGGATCCGGATTGGCCAGCAGGTGGATCTGGATCCGGATTGGCCAGCAGGTTGATCTGGATCCGGATTAGCCAGCAGGTGGATCTGGATCCGGATTGGCCAGCAGGTGGATCTGGATCCGGATTGGCCAGCAGGTGGGTCTGGATCCGGATTAGCCAGCAGCTGGATCTGGATCCGGATTGGCCAGCAGGTGGATCTGGATCCGGATTGGCCAGCAGGTGGATCTGGATCCGGATTGGCCAGCAGGTGGATCTGGATCCGGATTAGCCAGCAGGTGGATCTGGATCCGGATTAGCCAGCAGGTGGGTCTGGATCCGGATTAGCCAGCAGGTGGATCTGGATCCGGACCGCGGTCCGCTAATCCGTGACCTTTGTTATGGAGCCTGCAGGCCGCTGCAGTAAAGCAGCTGCCTGGGTTCTGATCTGTGCGGCTGTAGAAGGTCATGGGGAGGAAATGATGTCACAGTTTGCATCAGAACGACCGCCGTAACCGTGCGGTGAACTTTATAATGACCTCAGCTAACTGACTTTTTCAGACAGATGATCACTACTTTTTGCTCCCCACTGGTCACATGACTCCCCGCACCATCTTGGTTATTAGTCGCTACCTGACAGCAGGACGCTGTGAGAGAAAATCCCATGATGCTTTGTGTAGAAAGCTCTCACAAAGCATTCTGTGATATATATCCTCCCATGGAGGATCACTACTTTTCAAGGTGCATTGTGGGAAGTTTCAAGTCCACTACCTTTACATCCATTGGCTGTCAGGATTATATAGGGACACAGCGACAGAGAACATGGAGGTCAGGGAGGTCAGGGAGGTCAGGGAGCTCAGGGAGGTCAGGAAGGTCAAGGAGGTCAGGGAGGTCAAGGAGGTCAGGGAGGTCAGGGAGCTCAGGGAGGTCAAGGAGGTCAGGGAGGTCAGGGAGGTCAGGGACTAAAAGGATTGGGTTTCTTAGAATAGACTTCCTGGTAGCTTCCTCCAACCAAACTGATTAGAATATGTTTTCTGTTCAAAGGGTGGAAATAAATCAGGCGGTTAAATGTCACTTTTAGAGCGCATCGCCCTGCCCCCACCCCCCTTTGTAGCCCCGCCCCCACCCACCTTTGTAGCCCCGCCTCCACCCACCTTTGTAGCCAGAGAGTGTGATGCCCCAGCCTCCAGCAGCACGGAGGCGGTCTCCACCTGCCCCTCCCGGGCAGAGATGTGTAGCGGCGTGTAACCGTTGGTGGTGGCAGCATCAGGATGGGCCATGTGCTGCAGCAGCAGCTGAACGATCTCCGTTTTTCCCAGACGGGAGGCGATATGCAGAGGGGTCTGGTCCTCCTGAGAAGGAGAAGGAGGAGCATGTTTAAATCCAACAGGAGCAGAGCGGTTCCTCCTGATGGTGGCTGTGACATGAGGAACCTCACCCGGGCCCGAGCATCCACCATGGCTCCGTTCCTGAGCAGACATCGGACCACCTCCACCTGCCCGGCCCTGGCTGCCATGTGCAGCGCCGTCTCTCCTCGCTGAAACAGCAGGAAACCAGACGTCAGACGAGTCAAAGGCTACGTCAGACCTGTCCAGGTCCCGATAACTCACTATGTTGCTGACGTCGGCCGAGGCGCCGTTCTGCAGCAGCAGGAGGACGATGTTCAGGTGACCCATGAAGGCCGCCACGTGGATGGGGGTCAGACCAGACTGGACACAAGGCAGAGCAACAGGCAGTGAGCAGAGGATCCCAGCTATAAGGGGGGGGGGGGGGGGGGTTAATACCTCCACCTTCACATCAGAGGCGACAAACTGCTGTTACTGACATTAGAGCGTTCTGCTGTCAAGGCTACCATGCTGTCATTCTATTGGATGGAACGGTTGCTAGGCAATGATCAACTTCTAAACTGACAACTAAAACTTTCCTTTTTGATAAAGCTTCTAGTTAGAGTGGCTCAGGTTATCCTGATCTATCTCTATAGTTCTGCTGCTATAGGCTTAGACTGCTGGAGGACATAGGGACCCCTTTTTCATCATTCTGCTTCATTCTATCTCTATTCTCCCACTCTGCAGAATCTGTTAGTTCAATCTCTAACGTTCTGCTCTCTCTGCTTTTTCTCATAGTAGCTTCATCTGGTCTGTTCCTGTTTGGCTGTGACTCCATCCTGGAGAGAAATATCAGCTGTGCTGCTGCCATCAACACCTTTGTTTCTAGATGTTGGAGCTTGGCCTGTTTTCCAGTGTAGTCCTGTTTCTCTGACTGTGACTAACTGGATGTGCTCTCTTCATCCTCTGACATGGGAGCTGGCTCGGAGCTCGTCTGCCTGGCTGTGTGTTTCCTGGACGGGGCCGCCTGTGGAGCGGGTTGACAGTTGCCTTTTGTATCTATGCTTCTTTTTCTATGTCTGCTTCTGTCTCCTTGAACCCCAGTGGGCCTCAGCAGATGGCCGCTCACACTGAGCCTGGTTCTGCTGGAGGTTTCTTCCTGTTCAAAGGGAGTTTTTCCTCTCCACTGTCGCTACAAGCATGCTTAGTGTGAGGGATTGCTGAAGAGTCAATGAGTCGATGCAATCAGCTGGTTTTCCTTAGATAGAAAACTTTGAATCAATCTGACTGGATGATCTGGTTGATGTAGATCTATACAGTGACCTGAGATGTTATGATGTGAATTGGAGCTATAGAAATAAACTGAATAGAACTGAACCGGATGGGAAGAACAGAGGAAGTTTGAAGGGAAGCAGACTAAAATAGGAGCTCCTGAGTTTTGGCGGAAAAAAATCCTCCCTAAGAAGTTTGAAGATGCAGTCAAAGTGAGAATCAAAACATTTAAGAGCTCTGAACTGAGGGTTTATGTGGTTAGTCCCCAGAAGGTCGTTCAGGAACGCCGTCTCCTACCTCAGTGATGGCCTGGATGGACGCTCCGTATTTCACCAGCAGCTCCATCACTTTGACGCGGTTCTTCTTGCAGGCGATGTGCAGCGGAGTGAAGCCGTTCTGTCAGAGGGATGAAAACAATCAGACGCTTTGATACACAGCAGCGGATCAGGAACCGCCGTGGCGACCCACCAGAGCGCGGGCGTTGGGGTTGGCCCGCTTGTCCAGCAGCAGTTTGGTGACCCTGTAATGGCCACAGTGAGCCGCCACATGCAGCGCCGTCAGGTAGTCCAGAGTGACGTCATCCACCGGAGCCTTGTGCTGCAGCAGGTGTTTGACGCATTCCATGTGGTCGCCCTGCGCCGCCATGTGCAGCGGGGACAGCCCATTCTGGAAGGTGAACAGGACACGAGAGGTGAACCTGGTTTCTCCCATGATTAACAACGGAACAAAATTCCAACCATGTGGATCAGAACCATGAGGGAGAAGAACCTGGGACCCACCTTGGTTCTGGCCAGTAGAGGCGCTCCTCTCTCCAGCAGCAGCTCCACCGCCGTCTCATGTCCGCTCCGAGCCGCACAGTGAAGCGGAGTCAGCCCGTCCTGTAAAGCACACGGGACAGAACCGTTAGCCACCTTGAGCTGCTGATGAAGCTCTGGGCCTAAACAGGTGGTCAGTCAGCGGCATGTCGTTAGCCTATATTAATGGCAAATAACCCGGCATCAGGCATCCAACCAGTGGATGGAGGCTAATAACCCGGCATCTGGCATCCAACCAGTGGATGGAGGCTAATAACCCGGCATCTGGCATCCAACCAGTGGATGGAGGCTAATAACCCGGCATCTGGCATCCAACCAGTGGATGGAGGCTAATAACCCGGCATCTGGCATCCAACCAGTGGATGGAGGCTAATAACCCGGCATCTGGCTTCCAACCAGTGGATGGAGGCTAATAACCCGGCATCTGGCATCCAACCAGTGGATGGAGGCTAATAACCCGGCATCTGGCTTCCAACCAGTGGATGGAGGCTAATAACCCGGCATCTGGCATCCAACCAGTGGATGGAGGCTAATAACCCGGCATCTGGCATCCAACCAGTGGATGGAGGCTAATAACCCGGCATCTGGCATCCAACCAGTGGATGGAGGCTAATAACCCGGCATCTGGCATCCAACCAGTGGATGGAGGCTAATAACCCGGCATCTGGCTTCCAACCAGTGGATGGAGGCTAATAACCCGGCATCTGGCATCCAACCAGTGGATGGAGGCTAATAACCCGGCATCTGGCATCCAACCAGTGGATGGAGGCTAATAACCCGGCATCTGGCATCCAACCAGTGGATGGAGGCTAATAACCCGGCATCTGGCATCCAACCAGTGGATGGAGGCTAATAACCCGGCATCTGGCATCCAACCAGTGGATGGAGGCTAATAACCCGGCATCTGGCTTCCAACCAGTGGATGGAGGCTAATAACCCGGCATCTGGCATCCAACCAGTGGATGGAGGCTAATAACCCGGCATCTGGCATCCAACCAGTGGATGGAGGCTAATAACCCGGCATCTGGCATCCAACCAGTGGATGGAGGCTAATAACCCGGCATCTGGCATCCAACCAGTGGATGGAGGCTAATAACCCGGCATCTGGCTTCCAACCAGTGGATGGAGGCTAATAACCCGGCATCTGGCATCCAACCAGTGGATGGAGGCTAATAACCCGGCATCTGGCTTCCAACCAGTGGATGGAGGCTAATAACCCGGCATCTGGCATCCAACCAGTGGATGGAGGCTAATAACCCGGCATCTGGCATCCAACCAGTGGATGGAGGCTAATAACCCGGCATCTGGCATCCAACCAGTGGATGGAGGCTAATAACCCGGCATCTGGCATCCAACCAGTGGATGGAGGCTAATAACCCGGCATCTGGCTTCCAACCAGTGGATGGAGGCTAATAACCCGGCATCTGGCATCCAACCAGTGGATGGAGGCTAATAACCCGGCATCTGGCATCCAACCAGTGGATGGAGGCTAATAACCCGGCATCTGGCTTCCAACCAGTGGATGGAGGCTAATAACCCGGCATCTGGCATCCAACCAGTGGATGGAGGCTAATAACCCGGCATCTGGCATCCAACCAGTGGATGGAGGCTAATAACCCGGCATCTGGCATCCAACCAGTGGATGGAGGCTAATAACCCGGCATCTGGCATCCAACCAGTGGATGGAGGCTAATAACCCGGCATCTGGCATCCAACCAGTGGATGGAGGCTAATAACCCGGCATCTGGCTTCCAACCAATGGATGGAGGCTAATAACCCGGCATCTGGCATCCAACCAGTGGATGGAGGCTAATAACCCGGCATCTGGCATCCAACCAATGGATGGAGGCTAATAACCCGGCATCTGGCATCCAACCAATGGATGGAGGCTAATAACCCGGCATCTGGCATCCAACCAGTGGATGGAGGCTAATAACCCGGCATCTGGCATCCAACCAATGGATGGAGGCTAATAACCCGGCATCTGGCATCCAACCAGTGGATGGAGGCTAATAACCCGGCATCTGGCATCCAACCAATGGATGGAGGCTAATAACCCGGCATCTGGCATCCAACCAGTGGATGGAGGCTAATAACCCGGCATCTGGCATCCAACCAATGGATGGAGGCTAATAACCCGGCATCTGGCATCCAACCAGTGGATGGAGGCTAATAACCCGGCATCTGGCATCCAACCAATGGATGGAGGCTAATAACCCGGCATCTGGCATCCAACCAATGGATGGAGGCTAATAACCCGGCATCTGGCATCCAACCAGTGGATGGAGGCTAATAACCCGGCATCTGGCATCCAACCAGTGGATGGAGGCTAATAACCCGGCATCTGGCATCCAACCAGTGGATGGAGGCTAATAACCCGGCATCTGGCATCCAACCAGTGGATGGAGGCTAATAACCCGGCATCTGGCATCCAACCAGTGGATGGAGGCTAATAACCCGGCATCTGGCATCCAACCAGTGGATGGAGGCTAATAACCCGGCATCTGGCTTCCAACCAATGGATGGAGGCTAATAACCCGGCATCTGGCATCCAACCAGTGGATGGAGGCTAATAACCCGGCATCTGGCATCCAACCAATGGATGGAGGCTAATAACCCGGCATCTGGCATCCAACCAATGGATGGAGGCTAATAACCCGGCATCTGGCATCCAACCAGTGGATGGAGGCTAATAACCCGGCATCTGGCATCCAACCAATGGATGGAGGCTAATAACCCGGCATCTGGCATCCAACCAGTGGATGGAGGCTAATAACCCGGCATCTGGCATCCAACCAATGGATGGAGGCTAATAACCCGGCATCTGGCATCCAACCAGTGGATGGAGGCTAATAACCCGGCATCTGGCATCCAACCAATGGATGGAGGCTAATAACCCGGCATCTGGCATCCAACCAGTGGATGGAGGCTAATAACCCGGCATCTGGCATCCAACCAATGGATGGAGGCTAATAACCCGGCATCTGGCATCCAACCAATGGATGGAGGCTAATAACCCGGCATCTGGCATCCAACCAATGGATGGAGGCTAATAACCCGGCATCTGGCATCCAACCAGTGGATGGAGGCTAATAACCCGGCATCTGGCATCCAACCAATGGATGGAGGCTAATAACCCGGCATCTGGCATCCAACCAATGGATGGAGGCTAATAACCCGGCATCTGGCATCCAACCAATGGATGGAGGCTAATAACCCGGCATCTGGCATCCAACCAGTGGATGGAGGCTAATAACCCGGCATCTGGCATCCAACCAGTGGATGGAGGCTAATAACCCGGCATCTGGCATCCAACCAGTGGATGGAGGCGTCAGGACTTCCAGCAGCTTTTAATCCTCTGATGTTCAGCTTAGATGAAAACATCTGCTCCAAACACGAACACCACTGAACATCTGGCTGATCTGACCACCAGGGTGGTTCTGTCTCTGCGGTACTGACCCGGGTTTTAGCATCAATCTGAGAGCCTCGGTCCAGCAGCAGGCGCACCATGTTGGTGTTACCGCGCTTAGACGCCACATGTAGGGGAGTGATTCCGTTCTGCAGAGGAGACAGAAGACAAAGACTAGTCAGGGTGCGTTCACTGCTTCTATGTGTGCAGCTCGTTTGGCAGCATAGAGACAGAAACCTTAGAGAAACAACGAACACCTGAAGATTTAGCGGTTTCATCTGTTATCTAAAGGTAAATCTGTATTTCTGTGTTTCCATAGGGAACCCATCTTCATGATTATGCCCCCCCCCCCCCTGGTGGGGGTCCAGATCCCCCCTCTGGGAACCCCTTGCCTTGGTGACCACATAGACCTGTTATCCTCTGAGGTCAGGTGATGATCTCACCCTGGCGGTGAAGTCTACGGCGGCGCCGCGGTTCAGCAGGAGCGTGGCCACGTTGACGTTCCCGTAGTGAGCGGCGATGTGCAGCGGCGTGAACCCGCTCTGGGACAGAGAGAGAGAGAGAGAGGAGGAGGCTCAGCACCTGCTTTGGGTGAGCAGCATCACAACTCCCAGCATGCATTGGGAGCTTCAGGCAGAAAGAGAACAGAAACCATGACGATGAGGCTGAAAGCTAAACTCCTGTCATGCAGCTTTCATCCAGATTCATCTGGAAAACATTTCATTGGTGAGAAGAAATTCAATGTTTGGTCCCTGATCAGAGAAACGGCTTCATCCCTAAATTAATCAGTTTGTGTCATTGATTAATCACAGTTTATTTGATTATTCAATCAGAGTTTATTCAATTAATTAATCAAGAGTTTAATTAATTAAGTTTATTTTATTAATCAATCAGAGATTATTTATTGATCGTTATCCAAAAATGAAAACCCAGAAATTCTGGAAGGAAGTTTGGACCAGCTGGTCTGCTTCTATGAACCAGGTCTGAACTCGGTACCGGGTCTGAACTCTGAACTCGGTATCAGGTCTGAACTCGGTATCAGGTCTGAACTCGGTACCGGGTCTGAACTCGGTATCAGGTCTGAACTCGGTATCAGGTCTGAACTCGGTACCGGGTCTGAACTCTGAACTCGGTATCAGGTCTGAACTCGGTATCAGGTCTGAACTCTGAACTCGGTATCAGGTCTGAACTCTGAACTCGGTATCAGGTCTGAACTCGGTATCAGGTCTGAACTCTGAACTCGGTATCAGGTCTGAACTCTGAACTCGGTATCAGGTCTGAACTCGGTATCAGGTCTGAACTCTGAACTCGGTATCAGGTCTGAACTCGGTATCAGGTCTGAACTCGGTACCGGGTCTGAACTCGGTACCGGGTCTGAACTCGGTATCAGGTCTGAACTCGGTATCAGGTCTGAACTCGGTACCGGGTCTGAACTCTGAACTATGTATCAGGTCTGAACTCGGTATCAGGTCTGAACTCGGTACCGGGTCTGAACTCGGTATCAGGTCTGAACTCGGTATCAGGTCTGAACTCTGAACTCGGTATCAGGTCTGAACTCTGAACTCGGTACCGGGTCTGAACTCGGTATCAGGTCTGAACTCTGAACTCAGTATCAGGTCTGAACTCGGTATCAGGTCTGAACTCGGTACCGGGTCTGAACTCGGTATCAGGTCTGAACTCGGAATCAGGTCTGAACTCTGTACCGGGTCTGAACTCTGAACTATGTATCAGGTCTGAACTCGGTATCAGGTCTGAACTCTGAACTATGTATCAGGTCTGAACTCGGTATCAGGTCTGAACTCTGAACTATGTATCAGGTCTGAACTCGGTATCAGGTCTGAACTCTGAACTATGTATCAGGTCTGAACTCGGTATCAGGTCTGAACTCGGTATCAGGTCTGAACTCTGAACTCGGTATCAGGTCTGAACTCGGTATCAGGTCTGAACTCTGAACTCGGTATCAGGTCTGAACTCGGTATCAGGTCTGAACTCTGAACTCAGTATCAGGTCTGAACTCTGAACTCGGTATCAGGTCTGAACTCTGAACTCGGTATCAGGTCTGAACTCTGAACTCAGTATCAGGTCTGAACTCGGTATCAGGTCTGAACTCAGTACCGGGTCTGAACTCGGTATCAGGTCTGAACTATGTATCAGGTCTGAACTCGGTATCAGGTCTGAACTCGGTACCGGGTCTGAACTCTGAACTATGTATCAGGTCTGAACTCGGTATCAGGTCTGAACTCTGAACTATGTATCAGGTCTGAACTCGGTATCAGGTCTGAACTCTGAACTATGTATCAGGTCTGAACTCGGTATCAGGTCTGAACTCTGAACTCGGTATCAGGTCTGAACTCGGTATCAGGTCTGAACTCTGAACTCGGTATCAGGTCTGAACTCGGTATCAGGTCTGAACTCTGAACTCAGTATCAGGTCTGAACTCTGAACTCGGTATCAGGTCTGAACTCTGAACTCAGTATCAGGTCTGAACTCGGTATCAGGTCTGAACTCAGTACCGGGTCTGAACTCGGTATCAGGTCTGAACTATGTATCAGGTCTGAACTCGGTATCAGGTCTGAACTCGGTACCGGGTCTGAACTCTGAACTATGTATCAGGTCTGAACTCGGTATCAGGTCTGAACTCTGAACTATGTATCAGGTCTGAACTCGGTATCAGGTCTGAACTCGGTATCAGGTCTGAACTCTGAACTCGGTATCAGGTCTGAACTCGGTATCAGGTCTGAACTCTGAACTCGGTATCAGGTCTGAACTCGGTATCAGGTCTGAACTCTGAACTCGGTATCAGGTCTGAACTCTGAACTCGGTATCAGGTCTGAACTCTGTACCGGGTCTGAAAGGTGAATTCTTCTCCATCCAGCTTTCAGCAGAAGGAACCATGAAGAGTTCTAGAAGGTTCTGGCTAATGGCTTCATTGACTCTGGAACCAGAACCAGGACTCAGCAGTCTGGGTTCTGGTCCTCTCCCAACTCTGGACCCCAGGAGCTACGGCTCGGTTCTGTTCCTCTGGTTCCGATAAGCCTCTGCTTCCTGCTCGAGTCCTCTGGACATCCGTCCAATCAGCAGACCTCCCCATCATTACATCACTTCCTGTTTACAGGCTCATGATCTAAACAGAATTCAACTGGTCCTGAAATCAGAGAATCTGAGATTTTAACTAAAATGATCCATCAGAGAAAAGAAAACTTTTATATTTAAGAAGGTTTATTAGATTTTGTTCAATAAAATAAAAAATGAGGTTTTTCTTTTTAAATCATTTAATTTTTTGGCAAATTATCTTCCTGTTCCAAACAAGGAAACTCCAACTCTCCGACTGTCAACACTTCATTTATCCATTAAATATTCATTTATTCATTAAATATTCATTTATTCATTTCATCCTGAATCCCAGAAAGTAGAGCTGCTGATATTCCCTGACTGTTATCGTTTGCTCTGTGAATAAAGGGACAAAGATTGAAGTTTTCCACCATTTTCAGATTCCTTCAGATCTTCCTGTTCTGGAAAAACCTCCAAATAATAAAGAGAAACATGAAAAGAAACACAGATTAGAAGAAAGATGGACCGAAATGTGATCTAGTGAAAATAAAAGCAGCTAATAATAAAAAGTAAAGATGGCGGCTCCCATGAAGAGCAGTTAGCCATGAGGAAACATGAGGGGAGTTAGAGGCTGCAGGGAGGGGAGGGGGGAGTGCTGAAAGGCTTGCCTTACCTTGCCGTTCTGTAAGTGTGGGTCCGATTTAACGTGAAAAAGTTGTTTACAAGAGTGTGAAGAACACAGTGAGCAGCGAGATGGTTTCAAACATCAAAGTCAGAATGTTGCAAAGTAAAGGACAGTGGATGCATCGTGCTCCTCGGTGCAACGCCATTGGTCAGGACCAACGCCACTTTAAAGACATCTTCCTGTTTCAGGTCAGTTACGACAACCAGAAAAAAGGTTCCTGTTCCTTTAAATACTTTGGCTAAGCCCAGATGGTGATGATGTCATCATTTTTCCCAAATTCAGACCAAACGTCCGTTCAGTGGGATTGATTCTAAAGCAACACCTCAAACAAACTGACTGCTGGCAGGAAATCAGCCCAGAACTCTGGCGGAGAACGATTTAAATAGAAGAATGTAGAACATTCCTCTAGAAGAACGTAGAACGATTTGAATAGAAGAACGTAGAACATTCCTCTAGAAGAACATAGAACATTCCTCTAGAAGAACGTAGAACATTCCTCTAGAAGAATGTAGAACATTCCTCTAGAAGAACGTAGAACATTCCTCTAGAAGAACGTAGAACATTCCTCTAGAAGAACGTAGAACGTTCCTCTAGAAGAACGTAGAACATTCCTCTAGAAGAACGTAGAACATTCCTCTAGAAGAACGTAGAACGTTCCTCTAGAAGAACTTAGAACATTCCTCTAGAAGAACGTAGAACGTTCCTCTAGAAGAATGTAGAACATTCCTCTAGAAGAACGTAGAACGTTCCTCTAGAAGAATGTAGAACATTCCTCTAGAAGAACGTAGAACGATTTGAATAGAAGAACGTAGAACGTTCCTCTAGAAGAACGTAGAACATTCCTCTAGAAGAACGTAGAACGATTTGAATAGAAGAACGTAGAACGTTCCTCTAGAAGAACGTAGAACATTCCTCTAGAAGAATGTAGAACATTCCTCTAGAAGAATGTAGAACATTCCTCTAGAAGAACGTAGAACGTTCCTCTAGAAGAACGTAGAACATTCCTCTAGAAGAACGTAGAACATTCCTCTAGAAGAATGTAGAACATTCCTCTAGAAGAACGTAGAACATTCCTCTAGAAGAACGTAGAACGTTCCTCTAGAAGAACGTAGAACGATTTGAATAGAAGAACGTAGAACATTCCTCTAGAAGAACATAGAACATTCCTCTAGAAGAACGTAGAACATTCCTCTAGAAGAATGTAGAACATTCCTCTAGAAGAACGTAGAACATTCCTCTAGAAGAACGTAGAACGTTCCTCTAGAAGAACGTAGAACATTCCTCTAGAAGAACGTAGAACATTCCTCTAGAAGAACGTAGAACGTTCCTCTAGAAGAACTTACAACATTCCTCTAGAAGAACGTAGAACGTTCCTCTAGAAGAATGTAGAACATTCCTCTAGAAGAACGTAGAACGTTCCTCTAGAAGAATGTAGAACATTCCTCTAGAAGAACGTAGAACGATTTGAATAGAAGAACGTAGAACGTTCCTCTAGAAGAACGTAGAACATTCCTCTAGAAGAACGTAGAACGATTTGAATAGAAGAACGTAGAACGTTCCTCTAGAAGAACGTAGAACATTCCTCTAGAAGAATGTAGAACATTCCTCTAGAAGAATGTAGAACATTCCTCTAGAAGAACGTAGAACGTTCCTCTAGAAGAACGTAGAACGTTCCTCTAGAAGAACGTAGAACATTCCTCTAGAAGAATGTAGAACATTCCTCTAGAAGAACGTAGAACATTCCTCTAGAAGAACGTAGAACGTTCCTCTAGAAGAACGTAGAACGTTCCTCTAGAAGAACGTAGAACATTCCTCTAGAAGAACGTAGAACGTTCCTCTAGAAGAACGTAGAACATTCCTCTAGAAGAACGTAGAACATTCCTCTAGAAGAACGTAGAACGATTTGAATAGAAGAACGTAGAACGTTCCTCTAGAAGAACGTAGAACATTCCTCTAGAAGAACGTAGAACATTCCTCTAGAAGAACGTAGAACGTTCCTCTAGAAGAACGTAGAACATTCCTCTAGAATAACGTAGAACATTCCTCTAGAAGAACGTAGAACATTCCTCTAGAAGAACGTAGAACATTCCTCTAGAAGAACGTAGAACGATTTGAATAGAAGAACGTAGAACGTTCCTCTAGAAGAACGTAGAACATTCCTCTAGAAGAACGTAGAACGATTTGAATAGAAGAACGTAGAACGTTCCTCTAGAAGAACGTAGAACATTCCTCTAGAAGAACGTAGAACGATTTGAATAGAAGAACGTAGAACGTTCCTCTAGAAGAACGTAGAACGTTCCTCTAGAAGAACGTAGAACATTCCTCTAGAAGAACGTAGAACATTCCTCTAGAAGAATGTAGAACATTCCTCTAGAAGAACGTAGAACGATTTGAATAGAAGAACGTAGAACGTTCCTCTAGAAGAACGTAGAACATTCCTCTAGAAGAACGATTTGAATAGAAGAACGTAGAATGTTTCTCCAGAAGAACATAGAACATTCCTCTAGAAGAACGTAGAACTTTTCTCTAGAAGAACGTAGAACGTTCCTCTAGAAGAACGAAGAATGTTTTTTTAGAAGAACGCAGAACGTTTCTCTAGAAGAACATAGAACATTTCTCTAGAAGAACGTAGAACGTTCCTCTAGAAGAACATAGAACATTCCTCTAGAAGAACGATTTGAATAGAAGAACATAGAATGTTTCTCTAGAAGAACGTAGAACGTTTCTCTAGAAGAACAAAGAACATTCCTCTAGAAGAACGTAGAACTTTTCTCTAGAAGAACGTAGAACGTTCCTCTAGAAGAACGAAGAATGTTTTTTTAGAAGAACGTAGAACGTTTCTCTAGAAGAACGTAGAATGTTTTTTTAGAAGAACGTAGAACGTTTCTCTAGAAGAACGTAGAATGTTTTTTTAGAAGAACGTAGAACGTTTCTCTAGAAGAACGTAGAATGTTTTTTAGAAGAACGTAGAACGTTCCTCTAGAAGAACGTAGAACGTTCCTCTAAAAGAACGTAGAATGTTTTTTTAGAAGAACGTAGAACGTTCCTCTAGAAGAACATAGAACGTTTCTCTGGAAGAACGTAGAACACTTTGAATAGTAGAACATAGAACTTCTTCTAGAAGAACGTAGAACGTTTTTTAGAAGAACGTAGAACGATTTGAATAGAAGAACGTAGAACAATTTGAATAGAAGAACGTAGAACGTTCCTCTAGAGGAACGTAGAACGATTTGAATAGAAGAACGTAGAACGTTCCTCTAGAGGAACGTAGAACGATTTGAATAGAAGAACGTAGAACGTTTTTTAGAAGAACATAGAACGATTTGAATAGAAGAACATAGAACTTCTTCTAGAAGAACGTAGAACGTTTTTTAGAAGAACGTAGAACGATTTGAATAGAAGAACGTAGGACGTTCCTCTAGAGGAACGTAGAACGATTTGAATAGAAGAACGTAGAACGTTCCTCTAAAGGAACGTAGAACCATTTGAATAGAAGAACGTAGAACGTTCCTCTAGAAGAACGTAGAACGATTTGAATAGAAGAACGTAGAACGTTCCTCTAGAAGAACGTACAACGATTTGAATAGAAGAACGTAGAACATTTTTTTAGAAAAACGTAGAACGTTCCTCTAGAAGAACGTAGAATTTTCCTCTAGAAGAACGTAGAACGTTTCTCTAGAAGAACGTAGAACGTTTCTCTAGAAGAACGTAGAATGTTCCTCTAGAAGAGCGTAGAATGTTTTTTAGAAGAACGTAGAACGTTCCTCTACAAGAACGTAGAACGTTCCTCTAGAAGAACGTAGAACGTTCCTCTAGAAGAACATAGAACGTTCCTCTAGAAGAACGTAGAATTCTTCTCTAGAAGAACGTAGAACGTTTCTCTAGAAGAACGTAGAACGTTCCTCTACAAAAACGTAGAACGTTCCTCTAGAAGAACATAGAACGTTTCTCTGGAAGAACGTAGAATGCTTTGAATAGAAGAACATAGAACTTCTTCTAGAAGCAGTCCTGCAGCATCATGGGCTGAAACGCCGCTCAGACAGGAAGAAGCCATCCTCCATTGCAGATTAAAGTTTCACTCAGGGACAAAAACGGGGATTTTCATTGGCATCAATTTTCTTTTAGTGATGCTAACTGACCTGAAACAGGAAAATAAACTTTAAGGTTTTACTTTTTTAAAGTTAGAACAGAACAACAGATTGATTATGCTAATTTTCCAGACAAAACATAACAAAACATGCAGCTGGTGTTTGGTTGGCAGTGAATGACCCAGGCTGCGAGCATTAAACGTCTTTTAGACATAAAACTGATCAACTTCTTCCACAGTTTACAGGATTATTATCTCTAACTTTCCTCTCTGTTTCAAAGAATAAGATTGCTTTACTATTCTGAGCTGGGAGGAGTTGAAATATCGGATGTTTCCCTGAAACATGGCTGCAGCATCAAAAACCTTCGAACCGTCTGATGGTTTCAGCAAACGGCGTTTTAAAGACGAGCAGGAAAAGCCACGGATGAGCAGCGGCTGTGAACAGATGCTGCCGTTCAGGACATGATAGAGTGAGTGCCTGCAGTCGCTTCTGTTTATACGGTAGCAGCCATTTAATACGGTCCTTCACAGTCAGACGCCCGCAGCATGGAAGACCACTTCCCTCCAACTCCCAGCCACTGCAGTGACCCCCCTTCCCTGAATTACAGGCTCTGACCAGCAGATGGCGCTTCTCTTTAGATCCTAATGTCCACAAATCAGGAAGGAAAGAATATTTTAGTACAAAGATTGATGTTTAAAAAGGAATTATAGGGAACCAGCCAAGGACCCCTCAAGGACCCCTCAAGGACCAGCCAAGGACCAGCCAAGGGCCCCTTTAAGGACCAGCCAAGGATCAGCCAAGGACTAGTCAAGGACCCTTTAAGGACCAGCCAAGGACGGGTCAAGGACCCTTCAAGGGCAAACTAAGGACCAGCCAAGGATGAGTCAAGGACCCTTCAAGGACCAGCCA